AAAGATCAGCCCAGACGAGACCCTCGCTCCGCCAAAAATTGTGACTACCATACCAGGAAGCTGTGCAAAGGCAACGCCAACGCCACCGGCACAGGTCACGGTGAACGCCCAAGAAGCCCTAGCCTCCTACCCGTCCGATAGCATACACGTCTTTACCGACGGGTCTGCTGTCCCCGGCGGGACGGGCTTCGGCATATCTATGCGACTCCCTGACCGAGCACAGCGCATCGAACTAAGTGGGCCCTGTGGAAGGTTCACCCCAGTTGCCGAAGCCGAGATCGAAGCAATCCATGTAGCGATTAACACACTACTCGATGGGTTCAAGGGAGGCAATATCCCACCCGCCGATGTTACTGTGCTCACTGACTCCAGATCAGCGCTTCAGGCACTAACGCACAGTCCCAGCCGAAAGCTAGAGGACACCCTCCGCAATATTGCTACGCTCAGAATGACTTACGGCAAGTCAGTAACAATACAATGGATCCCATCCCACTCACACCTGGAGGGAAACGAGAGAGCAGACGAGCTGGCCAAGCACGGAGCTGACCAGCCGCAACCCGAGACACCGGTCTCACTTCCCGCTATCAAGACCCTGTTGAGGGAACACTTTAGGAACAAGTGGATCCGACGATGGCGGGACGGCAACACGGGGAGAGTGGTATGGGAGAAGTTGAAAGGGCCTACCTGGACCGACGACTGGTGGAAGCTCACACGTCCCGAGCAAGCCACACTGACCCAGGTCAGGACGGGCCACTGTCCCACGAACGACTACCTGACCCGAATGGGCAGGCGAGACAGTCCGCTGTGCAGGCACTGCGGTTTCGACGACGAGACCTTAGAGCACTTAGTCTCGTGTCGAGCGCTAGCAACGGTACGAGATTTGATCTTCGGGGTGCCCCCCGAAATCAAACTCTACGGGGCCCTGGCCGAACTCCGTAAAGCCGCCAGATACTTCAGGCTGGCGCTTGAGGAGGCAGCGCAGTCATAGTCGCGTCCACCGTCCGACCGTAACAGGGGAACTCGTTAGAGACCCCCCAGACCAATCCGGAGACAGAGGGATAAAGAACCCAACCCTCAGACCGATAGGACCGGCCCAGGATAGGCAAACGCCCGTGCGCCCAAGCCGAGTAGGAAGCCTGGGACGCGGTGGAGACAAGCCCCGCCACCAAGAAACTGGCCAACTCACCGCATCAGACGGGGGGTTGTCCGCAAAAAAGGTTTCAGGGAGGCAACGTAAAGGTGGTGGGCAAGCAGTAATGGGATGATGAACCCAGCTGTGTCACGAGCAAAAATAATAAGCGATGGGACAAGGCAGGAAAGACACAGTGCTGGTACGACGAAGCCATCAGAGTGGGGCGCGATACGGCGTGCTTGCCGTACCTCATGAAGACGATGGGAGAACGGGGACAAGGTGGAATGAGGTTTCGTCTTCGGCTAAGAAAGAGACTCTCGTTCTTTGAATTTAGTCTGGCGCCCGGGAACCAATCCCGAGGCGCCGTGGTGCGGGTGATCCGCGGGCGCCCCTGGTGACCATTGCGCCGTCCGTTGGCCTCAGGTAGAGTCGGGGCCATGCTCCATTGTTCCCCCTGCCCGTTGGGCTGGGTTGTGAGTGCCTGCGTCCAGGACACCGACGCTGACGGAGGGAGCCGAAATCCCTGGAAGAAAAAGGCTGGTAAAGGCTGGTTGGGCACATGCCCCGAGTTCTGGCAGTTTCGACTGCGGCTCCTTGGATAGAAACTGTTGGGGACGGTATTGTCCGCGGCGGCGGGAAGATTCTGCTCGAAATAGTCTTCTGCCCGGCCTGGTCGGTTTCACAACCGGGCCAATTTGTACAAGTGGCCCCCGGACACGTGGGGGGTTTCACGAGCCAGGCCAATCCGCGTCCGTTGCTTATCAACGGGGGGGTCCCTGATCCTGGTTTTGACTTTAACGGTTACGAATACGTCGGACCGGGGTCTTGGACGCCGCTCTTCGTGAGCGGTCGTGCAAGAGCGTCCTGCTCAGTCACGCTTCAGCAGATATTAATGTCGGTACCCAATATCAGATAAAAATAACTTTTGTGGTGGACTTATTAATAAAGGATGGCATTTTTTGTTTTATTGGACACAATCCCTCAATTAAATCTTCCTCCTTCTCGCCATCTCTCACAATTTCTCAATTACTTAAATTGAAATAAATTTATTTAACCAGTTTCTGGAGACTTTTGATTTATTATTTGTTGTAGTTGTTGATTAACTTATTGGGTCAGATTATACCTGGACGATATGAGGGATGGCACATTTGTTAAGCTGCCTTACATTTTGTAATATGCCTTACATTTTGTAACATGCCTTACATTTTGTGATCTGCCTTACATTTTGTAATGTGCCTTACATTTTGTAATATGCCTTACATTTTGTAACATGCCTTACATTTTGTGATCTGCCTTACATTTTGTGACATGCCTTACATTTTGTAACATGCCTTACATTTTGTAATGTGCCTTACATTTTGTGATCTGCCTTACATTTTGTAACATGCCTTACATTTTGTAATGTGCCTTACATTTTGTGATCTGCCTTACATTTTGTAACATGCCTTACATTTTGTAATGTGCCTTACATTTTGTGATCTGCCTTACATTTTGTAACATGCCTTACATTTTGTAATGTGCCTTACATTTTGTGATCTGCCTTACATTTTGTGACATGCCTTACATTTTGTAATGTGCCTTACATTTTGTGATCTGCCTTACATTTTGTGACATGCCTTACATTTTGTAATGTGCCTTACATTTTGTGATCTGCCTTACATTTTGTGACATGCCTTACATTTTGTAATGTGCCTTACATTTTGTGATCTGCCTTACATTTTGTGACATGCCTTACATTTTGTAATGTGCCTTACATTTTGTGATCTGCCTTACATTTTGTGACATGCCTTACATTTTGTAATGTGCCTTACATTTTGTGATCTGCCTTACATTTTGTGACATGCCTTACATTTTGTAATGTGCCTTACATTTTGTGATCTGCCTTACATTTTGTGACATGCCTTACATTTTGTAATGTGCCTTACATTTTGTGATCTGCCTTACATTTTGTGACATGCCTTACATTTTGTAATGTGCCTTACATTTTGTGATCTGCCTTACATTTTGTGATCTACATTACATTTTGTAATATGCCTTACATTTTGTAATATGCCTTACATTTGGCGATACGTTGGTTTCGCCTCCATTTTGGTTTCAGTGGGGGACCTTGTTTCCACTACCGGTACTGGGCTGCTGGACCTGTGGGGGACCTTGTTTCCACTACCGGTACTGGGCTGCTGGACCTGTGGGGGACCTTGTTTCCACTACCGGTACTGGGCTGCTGGACCTGTGGGGGACCTTGTTTCCACTACCGGTACTGGGCTGCTGGACCTGTCGCAGTGGCGGTTTCAAGGAGTGGATTTTTTTTCCTTTCATGAATCATCATCCAAGGTTCATGAGTCGCCATCCAAAGTTGGTAAATCCCAATCCAAGGTTGATGAGTCCCATCCACCAGGAGTGTCATGAAAGAATTAATATGTATTTTTCTGATTAAATTCTATTCTAACTAAAGAGCTATGATCCCGTCCCCTACAGAATCAGTTAGTGCCTAGTGGAGTAGCTAGTGTTAGTACTGATAGATGCACAACCTAGTGGAGTAGCTCGTGTTAGTACTGATAGATGCACAGCCTAGTGGAGTAGCTAGTGAGTGTAATGATAGATAAACAGAAACTTAACAAACAAAAAAAAACACGAAATGACGTCATGGCGTGGATATTCCGAATGGACCAATACATCAATTAAAATTGCTTCCACAATTAGAAAAGGTTATTAATATGAATATTTTTTTTTTGCTTGGAAATTTTATTAAAATTAAAAAATTTGATTAGTGTTAACTATGAAAAGAAATGATATAAAATAATAAAATCATTACAGGTTATCAAATAATAGGTTTTTAAAATGGATAATAACCTTTTTTTTAAAGTAATAAACAGCCTATATTTTTTATATTATATAGGCTTTATACTGAACCTTTTCGACTTTTAGTACAATACTTTAACTAGGTACTTTGACAGAGATTTTTTTAATATTGCTTTAATCAGTGCTTGCTATAAAAGATATATCATATAAGATATATCATTTTAAAGGGCTAGCTATAAGCTTTCCAAAAATATAAATTTCATCTTTCTATCTTTCATAGAAGTGGAGTTATGATTTTAAAATCAACAACAACTTTATAAGCACCTTAAATAATCTACATTTTACCCCCGAAACTTGTGACCCACTTTTCACATTTCTGCACATTTGGTCCACAACATTTTTGAATTTTTAAGATAATTGTACCAAATGTTCAGGAGACATTTACATTCTAAGATATACAATCCAGTGAAACAGTTTTATATAAAATTAAGAATATATTTTTTCATGATTTTAGATGAGGGAAAAAGTGGTAAATTGTTTTTAAATAGTTTAAAAGTTCAAGTGAATCTGAAAAATAATTGCAGGTTCATTTGATTTTAAAGTAGTTTGTAAAATTTATTTTAAATTAACTAAGATTTATATTTATGTAAAGGAAATCTGAAAATTTTCTTTTTGACTTGTTAAAACTTGTAAATATCTAGAAATAAACGTACGGTTTTGATTTTTATTTTTCGTCAACGTGTAAAATTATTTTCTGGTTAAGTAAAAGCCATTGGGATGCTCAATTTCCGCCCTACTTCCTAATAAAAATGGCAGTATTGCCTGACCAAACAACCAATTTTGGTGCCAGTATATCCACTGCTCAGCGGTGTGCCTAGTGTTAGTGACACTTTAGGCGGATTAACACTTTGCCACGCTACATTTCACGATGTAAACTCTCAATATGTTTTTTTAAAATATGACCCCTGGTCAGACCAACTATTCGCTCCCCCTGTTTATGTCACCGGCGTGAGTGTTTGATGCCAGGGAACAAGATTCTTTTTTTCCCATCCCCCCCCCCCTCAGAAATCCATTATTTTCATCCAATAATACACTAAAAGCCCATTAGTGCCCCCTCAACAAAGAATATATTCTAACAATTTGACACAAATTTTAAATAGAATCAAAATCATAAGAAGAGAATATTATTTAACATTAATACTATCAGGACAAGCCTCAAGTATTAAAACAATTTTAATAGTTTTATAAATAGCATATCTGTATAGCATATATCATGTATAAGTTCTAAACTGCTGATATGTATGACCTTTAAATAAAACAAATAATTTACATTTGTAGAGGCTTTAGAAATATACAAAAAAAATTTAAAAAACCATCATGATAAGTGGTTAACTGTTACATATATACAGCAACTAAATTATCCAAAAACAACATTTCCAAACTGAGGTATTACACTCATGGATTCAGTGAATCAATCCATTAGTTATATCCATTTAACATCCATTTATTGGTTATCTATAACTATAACATCTCCATGATCCACAGTTATAAAAGACGATGGTTTCATCCCTCTCTTTTCCAATTCTTCTTTTAGTTTGTCCCGAGGTTCTAAATAGGGCTGAAATATATGAAGGTGAATGGAAATGATAGAAAATGTCACTTTATAACGTTCAAGAAAAAGTTGAAATGGTGTCTGATATAAATTTGACTTTTACACTTTAAAGAAACATCTCTCTAGTACAATAATAAAATACACTTTGAACATTTATGCAAAGATAAAATGCTGTTTAATACTTTATAATGCTAGCTGCATAAAATGAATTATTTCTTGGAGAAACATGCCTTTACTAAAGTCAGAAATTGTATGAAGAGACCATCTGAAATTCTGATATTTTAAAAACTTAAAACATCAAGGATTTTCATGAGGGCTGAAAAAAATATTTAACTTTTGCTTTTCAAAATGACATGCATGCACAATTTACTACAAAGATGTGACAATGGTCATCTACAGCTTCTCACTGAACCAGTGGTTCATCAAGAGATGTCATCATTTTGAACAAATTAACATAGCAATTTTTACACTGTTTTAAATCATTCTGTATTTTTATAAGTTTAATTGTCTTTAAAGGCACTGACTGCCAAAACTTGACCTTATTCTATTTTTTTCCTCCTTAGATTATTAAAGGTATGTGAATCTGGTAACTCTCTAAAATACTCAAAATACTGGATAGGTCTGGATGCTATAAGCTATTTTGAGATTTGCTAAAAATAAAAAACTTAAATTGCATCCTCACCTCCTTTGACAAAACAAATGTCCCCCAATGTATACCTATAGATGTTTTAGACCCGAGGTCATTGTGTATGTCCACAGCTTCTGCTGGATCTACATGCTGGGGACCTAGGAACCATCTGTAAAATAAAATTTTAAGTAACATCATTTCATAACAAAACGTAACAACTGTGCCGGTACAATACAACTGCCGGTACAATACAACAGTCGGTACAATACAACTGCCGGTACAATACAACTGTTCCGGTACAATACAATTGTGCCCGTGCAATATAGCAACTGTGCTGGTACAATAAAACAACTGTGCTGGTACAATAAGGTTTAAAAAAAAATTACAGTTTTACATTTACAGTTGGTGTCAATGTTATCTTTACATCAAAAGACCAATTCCATGTTAGTCATTTATGTTTTAAGTCTTCACAAATATTCAATATAAATAGCATTATCTGATAAAACAATCCCAAAAAAACAACCTTCAACTGATTAGCTACCAGCAACCTCAAGTGTATTAGCAACCAGCAACCTTAAGTGATTTAGCTACCAGCAACCTTAAGTGATTTAGCTACCAGCAACCTTAAGTAATTTAGCTACCAGCAACCTTAAGTGATTTAGCTACCTGCAACCTTAAGTGATTTAGCTACCAGCAACCTTAAGTGATTTAGCTACCAGCAACCTTAAGTGATTTAGCTACCAGCAACCTTAAGTAATTTAGCTACCTTGGACAATAAGCCCCAATCGGAATGGTTGAGAGGGTGAAGGGCCCATAACGTTGTCCAATTTGTTTGAAGCCTTCACAGTATCCTGTGTCTCCGGCAAAAAAGAAGCTATGTTTAGGTCCAAGAACACACCAGCTTGACCAAAGCACCTGAAAATGTTAATGGCTGCACAATTTTATCACGCAATACACTGTGAAATTAGTTCACAGCAAATTTGCTTATCAAATCACAAACAAATATTTTTTTAGAAAAGCCTTTAGAGAGAAAATGTACATTTCTCAGAAGCACTGTCTGAATACTTCATTTTTGTAAAGTTTTGAAATGACTGCCAATTTTCCATTTAGCATTCAGATCATTTTAATTTTTTATCTTTCTATTTCTCCATGAAATAAATGAGCGGTGAAGCCACCAATCCTATGTAAATTTAACAACCATGTAGATTTATGAAATAACATGCAAACAATTCGTATTCTACAACTTGATTATCCACTGCCAAGTTATAAATTAGGAAATAGCTGATTAAGAGATTTCTTGAATAAAATCAACATCCCGCTGTTGTAAACAGTTGGCAAAGAAAACCAGATCTCATAAAGAATTTTTATTAATATTATTATCTAATGGAACACTTTGTTTAATCACTGTTGAAGAATGGCTCACCTTGTTATCATCATTCAATGAGCGCTTGCACCAGTGTTGACAAGGTGTGTTCACAATTTTAACCCCAGATGCTTCACTATGGATGTGCTCCTCCCACCAGGACAACTCAACCACATTTTTACAACCGCTGTCATTCATCCATGACTTCAAACCTTTTGGAACGTACCACGTCAAGTTTTCTCCAAACCTTTAAATTAGAAGAACAGCAGATGATATCATTAAAGAGAAGGAAAAAAAAACATGAAAATATCACTAACTTGCTGTAGGTATAATTTAGCAACGGGACAAAAAATAATAATTAAATAAATGTTTGAACCCAGTGCATTATATTTTTTTTTTTTTCTATTTTAATTTAATATTTTATTTACAATTTATATAAAAAATTCAAGAATGAAACACTAAATGTAATTTTTTTAAATATAGATAAAAAGCTATCCTGACTAAGAAATATGTAAATCACTGTCTCCATATTTTTACCATATTTTTATAAAAAATTCAAGAATGAAACACTAAATGTAATTTTTTTTAAATATAGATAAAAAGCTATCCTGACTAAGAAATATGTAAATCACTGTCTCCATATTTTTACCATATTAATACTAACCAGATTAGCAATTTTTTTGGCATTTTTGTCATTTAATTTCAAATTAAATACACATGCAAATTTTAAAATTTATATGTACCAATTTCCACCCCTAAAAAATCAACATACCAATAGCAATAAAAATTGACTCTCTAAATTTAATAAATATTTTGTACTACGCCATTATACTACAGTATTCAATAAATTACTTATTCTTTTTAATGACGGCATTGCATACCTTTGATTTAATGAAACAACACTTCCGTAATCTAAGTGATCGTAATGATTGTGGCTTATAACCACACAGTCTACTTTAGGCAATTGATCCACCGCGCAGGGGGGCGGTCGATATCTTTTAGTCCCAAACCACTGGAAGGGTGAACAACGGTCACTAAAAATAGGGTCCGTGAGTATAGTGAGACCATCCAGCTGGACAAGGGATGAGGCATGCCCAATCCACATGTGACGCACACCTGACTGCGGAGACGTCTCAAACTGAGACAGGTCGGTTTTCCTCACAGGAAGTGTTTTGTCTAGTTCCTGAAATATTTATTGTGTTAGATATTATTATTTACTATTAAGTTTTGTGGATTGCCCCCCAATACAGTGTACTGGTTTGTTTAAGGAAAACATTAATAATATAAATAATTTAAAGAAATAAAAAAATATTTTTTGTTCAAACTTAATGTATCAATCTAAATAAACAAATCTAAATAAATCTGTGAAACTAACTACAATCAAACTGGTGTATATTAAATATATCATATAAGGTAAACTTTTTTTATCCCAGAAAATCTTTCTATGTCCTTTGCATATGGCTATGCATAACAATTGGTTTTTAAAAATTTATTTTGCTTCATCTGCTTACAACATTCTAATTTGTATTTATTTCACCAGAACCTTTAAATCTGAATTTTAAACAATAAATACTCACTGCTTCTTTCGGAACATTTGCATCACCTCTCATGAAAATAAATTTCAACAGTTTGTTTAATTTTGGAGCTTGCCATGTTTCCCAGGGGTTCTGGTACCTTCCATTTCCCATCAGAGTGGGTTGAGTACATTCTTCAGTGTGAATGTTGTCTACTCTTTCCTTTGACATTCTCTTAACTTTGACTTTAACCTACCAACCTAGACAAAATCAGCAGGCCTTTTTAAAAAAGTATTAATACTCTTTATCTAGAAATTATTTGTTCTTCTTACACAAGAAATCAGTATATTTAGTTTAACTCACTTGCCTTCTATTTATTAATGATTAAATGACACTCAAGTCTAAATGTATGCATATCTGTAATGTATTTCTATCCAGTAAGACTCATGAATGACTCATAGAGCACCTTAATAATAATTATATTATATTGATTGATTAAACTTAAAATATAAGACAACCAAGAGAACAGATTAATACTATAGTTCTATACATTTGTTTAAATTAAAAATATCCATTTCAATTTAATGTTTTTAACCCTCTTGAGGTGGAGGCTTTTTGGATTGTTGACCTTTGTCAATAGTCTATTGCATCATTCAACTCTGGGCGAATAGATCAGCCCACCCAGCCGTCTCAAGAGGTTACCGGAAATTTTGATCGAAAGAAATTTTTTCGACTATAAATTGATGGACGGAAATTTGATCAAACGGAAAATTTTTCAAAACTTTTTTCCAGTTCACACGTTAAAATTTTTGTCAAATTCTTTTTGAACGCACCTTACTATATAGTAAAACAAAATAATGTGTTCAAAATGAAATTTGAAGCAAAATTTTAACGGAAAAACTGAAAGAAAGATTAAACCAAATTTCCGTTCCATCAATTTATTGTAGATCAATTTACCATCGACGAAATTTCTTTCGATCAAATTTCCAAATACGGTCTCAAGAGGGTTAAATTATATTTATAGGCTAAATAGATACTGGAAGCGCATGAAGGGACAGTCAGCCTTGGTGGCAGAACAATCACCAACCTACGCTTAGCGGACGACATAGACGGACTGGCTGGGAATGAAGAAGAGCTAGCCAACCTGATAAAGCGTCTCGATAAGACCTCGCCGTCCTACGGCATGCTAATAAGTGCCGAAAAGACAAAATTGATGACAAATAATACCACAGGCATCACCACTGAAATTAAGGTCGGGGAGGAAAGATTAGAGACAGTAGGCCACTTCAAATACCTAGGAGCAACAGTCTCAGAAGAAGGCTCCAAGCCTGAACTGATGTTCAGGATTGCACACACTATAACAGCATTAAAGAAGCTCAAGAAAATATGGAATGACAAAAATATAGCCCCCTGCACCAAAATCAGGCTGATGCGCTCATTAGTCCTCTCCATTTTCCTGTATGCCTGCGAATCCTGGACATTAACAGCCGATCTTGAAAGGAAAATAAAGGCGATGGAGATGAGATGCTTCAGAAGCATTTTTGGCATTTGCTATAAAGACCATATCTCCAATGATACAGTGAAAGTAAGGGTTCGTCAGGCAATTGGAGAGTACGATGACCTACTGGTGACTGTGAACAAATGCAAACTACAATGGTACGGCCACCTAATAAGGAAACAAGGGCTTGCCAAAGAAATATTGCAGGGCACCACAAGAGGAGGGAGAAGAAAGAGGAAGACATAAAAAAAGATGGGAGGATAACATCAAAGAGTGGACAGGACTAACACTGGGCGATGCAGTGCGTAGCGCACAAGACAGAGAGGAATGGAGGATGGTTCACATGTCATCTGTGGCGCCCCAATGGCCTAAGGACTAAGGGACATGATGATGAGATACCGGGTATTAGTTAAAAAATCTGAACCCTAAGGGCTACACATGCACTTTTTAGGGGCTTCACGACCACTCCAAGAAATAAAATGGATAAAATTAAATGAAACTTGTAAGATATAGGGTAGGCCGGTGGGTGGGTGGGTGGGGGGGGGGGGCAACGCCCTGGACACTAATTCTAAAAATTGGCAAATTAGTCAAAAGGTTGTTGAAAATCACTGCTTTAGACTAATGTTGCTGTGTAATGTGTTAACATATGACTGTCACTCAACTCACGAACAGGAAAGTGTTAGGTGAAGACAAGACTCAAACTACTTAAAGTTTATAAATTATTAATTATTTAATAATATTAAATATATGTATAGTTCTATAGTGTGTTAATGTTGTTAGTGTTACACTTCCTTTTTAAATTTTAATATTTATACTTTATACTATATTATTTATATTACTATATCATATTATATAACTAAAAGTAATAACTAATATTTGACTCCTAATATTTAACTTTAATTTAAGTGTAGGCCTTTCCTTCATTCTTACTAAAACTTACTTAGTTAGACTTTGACTTTGTCTTAGTTAGCCAGTATACTGAGGACTGTCATGAAACAAGGTAACGAGTTAACTGTGCTATAAGATTAGTAATAGTATTATTGCTATTATTAGTATTATATTGGCAAATTAACTATTAATAGCAATAATCACTACTAATGACTAATTACTAATACATAATAAATACATATTGATAGCAGTAGCAGTTAGGCAGTTAGGCTCTCACACTCACCACTCTCTTTACTTTTTCGGTCTTCTTAACTGTCCTAACTTCTCTACTCCGACTCCAGTAATTTTAATTGGGGAAGTATAGTTATACTAAGTTATAGGGTATAGAGTCTATAGTGAGTGGTATAGTCATAGTTAATATAGTTGTCTAAGTATTAGTAATTTATTAGTTACAACTTAGCTTAGCCCGCCCTTAGTCTTAGTAAAAGTTAGTACTAGACGTTACTAGTACTTAGTCTTAGCCTAAGCCTAGCATACGTTTATTTAAAATGCTATTTATCATTGTAGAATAATTATTATAGACTCCATATACTTAGATATTAAACCCACTAAATAAGGCGTATGTATAGAAAATACAGTAATATTGTTATTAGTAGTATGCTGCATGACTATGACTATGACTATGACTCGGCAGTATTCACCCTGAAGACGAGGAATATAGGCCTACATGTAACTTTACTTTTAGTCTTGTCTTATGTAAACAGATTAACAAGGGATTCTACTCTAAAATTGTACGGTGGCTAGATAGCAGAATTAAGGAACTTAAAACTAAAGTTATTTTATTTTTTCGGTACCCCAGACTTAAGTAATATTTGAAGAAGACTACTGAAAGCTCTGCTAGGGAGGTGCAGGGCCGGCGCTAGGAGGGTGCGGGGCCTTGGGCAAATTGAATTTTGCGGGGCCGTTGGCGTTATATGAATATAGGCTACTCTGCCGATAGGATATAAAGACACGTTATTGTTATAGTTATACTGGGGCTGGGGCCTTGCTGGTCATAATGGGACGCGTCATAACAGATATTTGTTCGCTCGCTTAGTTTCCGAATATTGTGGTGACTGGATTAGGAACTATTACTAATAGTTTTAGTAGTCTTAGGTATATTATTTATACTACGGCATCGCCCCACTTCGCCATCCCCTAGCGCCGGCCCCGAGAGGTGCAATAGTAATATCTTATATACAGTACAGCTAATGCCGGCTAATGGCTAACGGCAATGGTTTTCGATTCGGCAAGGCATAAAACGTGGGCACCAACTATAAAGGAATGCGCAAAACTGGGTCAAAAATTTAATGAGTTTGCATTCAAATAGTTCAATTATTGCTCATTGACGATACCACGGTACATCAGACAAATAACATATATATAGACATAGTCATGGGCGCCAGCAGAAACTTTCTAGGGGGGGGGGGCAAATTTTTTTAATTAATTTAAATGTAGTTTTAATTTACTGTAGCGTATTTGTATGGTGAACGAACGGACAGGATATCAGCTTAGTTACTTTCTATTTATTTTCTCTTTACTTTAATAAATTTTTTGTCTATTTTTGTCTAAAAAAATTTTATCCAATCAATTCAGGGGGGGGGGGGCAAGTGTCCCCTTGCCGTATAGGCCTATCATATTGTAATAACACTCTATTTTATAATATTTTATAGATTTTTCCATTGCTTTATTTTTAAAAATAATAATTTACTACTTTATAAATATATTAACTTTAGAAAGTTGCCAAATCTCAAAAATAAGGGTGGAAGAACATTTTGATCAATTAAAATTAAAGCTTAAAATTAAAGTTCTTAATACATAAGAACGCACAGATGAAAACACACACACACACAAATATCGTACAACAAAGAACTAATTTAAAAAATATATAAGCCATAGACGGCCAGGTAAATCATAAATCACTATATCAAAAAAGAAATGGGCCTTTAGATTTTAAATAAGCCCTCACATAAACGTGCTCACATGTTACTATATTCACAATATGATAGGAAATAGTATGGAAAATCTGATGATTTAACTTAAATTTTATAACAATCAATTCAACATTGTCTTTATTTAATTTACTTTAAAATATATGTAAATGATATTTAATATTTTATTATATTAATGTTTTCAGCTTGTAGTTGAAGTCTCCACGTCAGAAGTCACCGAAAAGGGAGAATGCAATTATTGGCTTGGAAAACATGAATGGACTTTTCTTCAAAGCAAACCTAACCATTCACACTATATTAGTTGTAACATTTTAAATTACAGATAGTCTGAAACTAAAAGCATTGAACAACATTTAGGGTAACATGAAATATAATTTTTTTATTTGTTAACATTTTTTTAAAGAAACAATTTCAAATGATGGTTGAAGAATTGAAAAGATAATCAAGATCAGTCTATATACAAATGGAAAAAAAGCATCTATTTTTCCCATCAGCAAAAACTGTACAATTATAGAGACTGAAAAATTAAAAAAACATCAAAGAAAAATTAACATAAGTAAATATTAAATTGTATGTATTCACAAATGTAACTCATGACAGATGAAACACATCATTGTCTATTTTTAACAAAGGATATCCTTTGCTCCAGTGTTTTCCAAACTTTTACTTTTGGCGGACGGGTGGACAAGTTTCAAAACTGCACCAGGAAGTAGTGCCAAATTTATTAGTTACATTTTCTTTTCTTTTTTTAGGTACTGTAATATTCATGTTGTGCTGCAACGTGAGGCTCGCAGACTGGTGCTGGTCTGCGGATGAACAACTGGAGAATGCTGCTCTACCCAGTATTCATAAAGGTTCTCACATTTAAGAAAACTTACAATAACAGACAAGATCTTATTAAAACAATGTAATTTTAAGATGCAGTAAACCTGGGGAACCTCGCTATAAAAACAATAATAAACGACATGGGAATGCATAGTTCATGCCTGATAGATTGTCATTTGAAAACGATGCACGTTCAAATTAATCTGATTGACTGAAATAAAGACATAAAAGAAATGATTTTTCAGTTCAGGCACATCAGTCTTTCCATTTGAAATCTTTAAATTTACATTTGAATATAGTACATCATATAGTACATCATAGTGTACATCAGCACTCAGGTAGACATCAATTTTATCACAGCATTAAGCTCTTATTTAAATAAAAAACTATCAATTTTACCATGCTCATACAACATATTATCAATCAACAGAGCTACAAACAACAAAAATACAATTATTCAAAGATTTTTTCAATACAGAACATAAAGATAATCTTTTAAAAAATTCATGCCATGATCCATGTCAAACTACACAGTGTTTGAATAATGGGCTCACAAAAAGATTTATCCAAAGGCATGTTCTTTTAAGCCCACATTATTTCCATATCTATGATGTTACTATGCTGCTGCTACACTAACAAAGTGATTGTGTTCTGGAAATGGGGCAAAACTGCAACACAACATTTTTTAATGATTTAAACCATCTTCCCAAAACATAGAACTTAGATTGGTCAATATGAAAGATTTAATTTTCACAAATTATGCAAGTTTATAAAAAAAAGAGTATTAATCAAATGAAGGAAACAAATCAAAATATATGTAACTTAAAATCATAATGGCCGTGAATTAATGTGAAATGATTTATTAAAAATAATGAAAGTTCCTCACAAAATAATGTGACTGAGCAAATTCTGGCCCCATATGTTTATGACATGTTTTATGTAAAGATTTAATGACACCTAACACAGCAAATGGTTGGCTACATTGTCTGTTTTAAACATCTGGAAACCAAAGTTTCCCTAAATACCTGACAATTTATTTTATATATTATTTGACATTTGGTATCTCATTGAACAATCAAACCTGTCAAAGTTTGGCAATCTTAAATTTTTCTATTCCAAAATATTACGTAGTTTAAATTGCAGCAAAGACAAATAAACATGGCTGCCAATATATCTCAGTGCCATGATTATTTTTAAAAATTAACTTCAATGACTTTTATCTAAATTTAACATGGAAAAATCTCGGAATTTTAGCAGTTTTTAGTTCACATTGGTTTGTTAAGAAGAGAGAGCAAAAAGTTGGCCATAATTTTTTTTTAAGTTCATTTGAAATATGTATAATATTTTGTCATTTTCTTGTTAATTGGTGAAGTAACAGATAATTTTTAGATAACACCAAACTCGTAGGTTTTAAAAGCAATAAACAATTACACCAGAAACAATAGCAAATGCTTCAAAGTGCCTCAGTGCAATATAAACAATCTTTATTCCCACGCACAGTAATAGCATGGAACCACCTGGACGATGCGACTGTGAACTCGACATCGGTTGAAAGCTTCAAGGCTGCCCTGGCATCAGTTAGGAGCTGTTAGACTAGCAACATCATTCCCCAACTGTTGCACAGATGCCAGTATATGGATGCAGCAACAAACACTACCAGAACCAGAACCAGAAACAATTATGGCAAACTCAATGAAAAAATTAACACTGAACAGCTCATAAAATTTGTAAAACTTATTTCTATTGTTTGTGAAGCTCTCATGTCTCTCCAGTAATGATGATTTCCCCATGTTGAACAGTTATAAACTCAAGTGGATCCATTCCTCTTACTTTTAACTCATCTTTAATCATCTGCCTTGGTTCCAGATAAAACTAGTGATAAAAATATTTTACAGTATTAAGTTAGCTTTGGATTCAAAAAACAAAAACTAATTAAATCCTGATAATCCAAAGGAAAAGAAACAATGTATTCATATAAAGCACAATTAATTAAAATAAGCTTTTCAACTTTTGACACTTAACACCAACCCATCTTGCCAAATTATATGCTTCAAAAAGCTGCACGACAGGCATTTGAAGGATAATATGGATTGTTAAGAAAATCCAATGGTAATTTAGTATAAAAAGTATACATTGTCTTTTGGAAATATTTGTATTTCTTGTTTATTTATACCCATATAAATTTAAAAAAACAAATTAAACACAATTGATTAGTGGCTGCTCAATAATATTGAATTTAATTTCATTTAAAATAGCTTAATTTATAAGCAAAGTGTGAAAACATAGAATTTTCTAAATGCTTTAAAAAAACAAATTATATTTTTAAAATTTAAGTATAGTAATAGTAATAAAAATAAATGTTTTGCTAATTTGAATTTATTTTTATATTCTTGATCACTCAATTGAATATTAAAGTTATTTTTATTTCTCTACCTGAGGAAAAGTTGAGAGTTAGTGGGGAGAGAGTGAAGAATGAAAAGGAACTGGTATAAGTATATGTTGGGGAGGGAGAGGATGGGTAAAAGATGTGAGGCTAAGTCCAGATTGAGGTGAGAATGTGAGGTGAGAGTTGTCAGATGAGTAACATTGGTATTGAAGTAGGCAAAGGTTGAGTCGAGATGGGGGTGAATGTTAAAAGAGGATCCATAGGATAGGATGTAGGTTGAGGTAAGAGATGGGATAAAGCTTGAGGTAAAGGGATGGGATGAAGTTTGAGGTAAGGGGATGGGATGAAGTTTTAAATAAGGGGATAGGATGAAGTTTGAAGTAAGGGGTAGTTATGAAGAAGGTAGGATAAAAATTAATAGAAGCCCTTAATGAAGGAAATGTTAATGTGAGACTGAGTAATGTTTACAAAGCCAGATGAGAACAGAGAATTCAGGTTTAAGGAGGACATGAAGTGCAAATAGAAATTTTTGTTCTTTCAAAATAAACTACTTTTTTATGTCCAAATAATTTGAATAGCGTTTTACAATTAAAATATCTAATAAACAATAACTTATACCCTAGAATACCTCTTTGGATCCTAAAGGGAATGTTCCCCAGTGAACTCCAATAGATTTCCTTGACTTGATGTCAGTATGTATGTTGATAGCTTCTTTGGGATCAATATGTTGATACGACAAAAACCATCTATTGATAGATAGTTATACATATATAAATATTTATAATAATTATCAGATTTTCAATGAGTTTTAAAGAAATGATTTTCTCCATTAGTCATTGTGAAACTTTAAAAAAACGAATATGAAATCAGATTGGGAACTAACTTGAAATACAATTGTAGAAAAGGGTGAAGCTGCTTCTATCAATAAAAAAAAAAAGAAGATTATAGTCTTATACAATTCTCACTGATGTCAGCTGTAATTCTAAATAACATTTAAGTTATACAGCAAAGGAGATTGCATCTGCTGTAGAAGGTGATAACATGTTAAATTAAGTCATGCTGCAGTAATAAATAGACAAGATGACTAATGCTATTCATTTTTCGAAAAGGAATTAAAAGAGCACTCAATGACACTGCAGTTCTTGCTAAGAATTACACAAACTAGTTTTTAATTATGGTTTACTACCAGCTTAAATTTTCTGAACACTATCTATTAACAAATGATCCTGATGAATCTCATAATAGCTATATTTTGTAGATACTTGTCAATCAACTGCACCCAGATTCTATATATAGATGGTCTATCAATCCAAAACAGTGTGTCAAAAGTCATTTTGAGCGGATGAATAGGATTTAGGCTTCCTTTTGGCCAACACGAAATTTATTGTGCCACCATTTCTGAGCTTGTGCAAAAAAAGTCTAAATCCTGTAAAAGCTCAATAAAAAATCCTTAAGAGCCATACAATTTAGAAAACATTAAAAAATGTACTAAATACTAGTTGTTATGAAATGACTTTTGTGTTTGTATTACAGATATTAGATATTAATATGAGATATTACATTTTATTTATGTGTTTCCTTTAAATAATTTCCTTTAAAATAATTACCATACATGAAATGTTGGAATTATTTTTTTAATAATTATGTAAATGAATACTTTTTGCTTATGCCATTCCTACCTAGGTGCATAAGCTCCTATGGGAATTGTAGCCAATGTAAATGGCCCATAACGCTCCCCAATTTTCTTGAACACATGACAGTAGCCTGTGTCCCCTGCAAAGTAAAACCTGTGAGTGGGGCCAATAACACACCAACTACACCACAGAACCTGTAACATAAGAGATCAAATACATTTTCTTTTGGTAAATAAAAAATACATATATTTACACATGGGTGGACAACATGGATGAATGGCCTCATATTGGGTTACAGATTTTTTTTAGGAAATAACTTCAATGGATGAATGGCCTCATATTGGGTAACAGATTTTTGCAGGAAATAACTTCAATGGATGAATGGCCTCATATTGGGTCACAGAATTTTGCGGGAAATAACTTCAAATGCAAATTTTTTTTAAAAAATTGTGTCATATGATTGTAGCCGAGTGGTGACGTAGCTTACAGTTTAAATAAAATCACAATAAAACAATCAGGTCTGAGAACTATAGCTTTTTAATGTAAGGTACAATCCGTAAACAGAGCCGACAGTAAAATCTCTCACACATGCCGCAGACCCGAAGCATCCGTTCCACACCACAATCTAAAAGATGTACACACCTCAAGTCCCAGTTCATTCCCCCCCCCCCACACACACACACACACAGTCACGGGGAACCCGCGTCCCGAGCTAAAAGATGTACACACCTCAAGTCCCAGTTCATCCCCCCCCCCCCACACACACACACACACAGTCACGGGGAACCCGCGTCCCGAGCTGACCATGGGTCTACCCCGGGGCAGGGATGGTTATTCACGAGCGTTATCAACCAGTTATACCACGCCAATCACTTAGCATCGCTAATCGAGAGAAGACAGTGATACAAAAAGACACTAGTCCTAGTTGTTCTTTATGCTATATGTTTTAATTTTTTTAATACTCGATCGTTCTCTACGCTGGGATTTAAACAGTTGGGGTGTATGTGGCAATGTGTGGCATTTGCAACTGCTTTCAGGTAATATTTTATATGCGGCAGTATGCAACAGACAGGAATAAGAGAATCCACTCTCATAGTCATAGTGTGACTGCTGTGGGTAACCCCAAGCACGTACACATCCATGGTCATTTAAAGTAACCAACAGCTGTGTACTGGCCTTAAGTTTTATGTTGGTTATTTACATGCGTGAATAACTATGAGAGGAAAAGCTTTTTGCAATTTTTTTTTTTAATTGGACTAATTTTATTCAAAACAAATAGCTTACAAAAAAACTTCTATTCATGTAAAATATTGCGTTATTCTGTTAAAGTTCATTCTGTATTTTAAGGCTCTATCTTCTTCTATTGCCTTAATCAACATTCTACACAATGCTAAAAGTAGTTTTAGAAAAATCCTTGTAAATAACAAGTCAAAAGATTAAAGCATATGTCTCCCTACCTTGTTATCATCAAATGCGCCTCGCTTGCACCAGTGTTGAGCTGGTGTGCAAACAAACCTGACACCTGACTGTGGGCTCAATACATCCTCCTCCCACCAAGACAACTCCACAACATTAACACATCCGCTTTGAAGCATCCACTCTTTTAATCCCATTGGCACATACCACCTTAATCTGTCACCAAATCTGTAAGTAAATGGCACATACCAGTACAGTACCACCTTAATTTGTCGCCAAATCTGTAAGTAAATGGCATATACCACCTTAAACCTAATCTATCACCAAATCTGTAAGCAAATGGCACATACCACCTTAATCTATCACCAAATCTGTAAGCAAATGGCACATACCACCTTAATCTATCACCAAATCTGTAAGCAAATGGCACATACCACCTTAATCTATCACCAAATCTGTAAGCAAATGGCACATACCCCATTAATCTATCACCAAATCTGTAAGCAAATGGCACATAACACCTTAATCTATCACCAAATCTGTAAGCAAATGGCACACACCACCTTAATCTATCACCAAATATGTAAGCAAATGGCACATACCACCTTAATCTATCACCAAATCTGCAAGCAAATGGCACATACCACCTTAATCTATCTCCAATTCTGTAAGCAAATGGCACATATTGGGACCACCTTAATCTATCACCAAATTTGCAAGCAAATTTTACTTACTTATAATTTTACATTTAACAGTTTAACTTTTTTTGTGTGTACATACATAAAAAAGAGGAAACGGAAAGAAAAGAGATTTTTTTACAACCAATGATGTCTTAAACTTAAAGATGCATCTATTTATAGATCGATGATTGTGATTTATCCCCTGATTTATCCCCTGATGAGCCACCATGTTACTTTACAAATGACAACTAAGTTTGGTATTTGGCAGACAAGTTTGCTTTCCATTTTTCTCAAATAGAAAGGATTCCTTAATATAAGAGAGTTTGAATTAGTTAAACCTACCAAGATATTTTAACACCATTTTTGAAAGATGAGTAACAGCTAATAAATATTGTTATTCCAGTGCAATTCATTTTTCCGTGTTTCTCATTTTTGGAAATACCTGATCAGTATGATGATCGGTATGATGGTCCATGAATTAAACCTTGATTTACTTTTTTCATGAAATTTAAAGCTTTTCAAATCTTATTAAATCATGCTTAACCCTTAAGCTATTTTTTCTTTCTTAACAGTATTCACTTATTATATTATCATTAAATAAAAACTTCATACAAATGTTTTAAAAAATTATTCTTTATGGTGTAGAGTTGGGCAACACAGCAAGAGGAATATTTTCTATTATTATCAGCTATAACGATTCCTTGTTCTGATGGCATTTCTTATTACCAACCTTTTGACTAAACCTTGCACGGTCCCATAGTCCAAATGATCAAAATGATTATGGCTGATAACAACACAATCAATGTGAGGTAAATCATCAATGGTGCATGGAGGTGGGCGGTATCTTTTGGGACCAACCCATTGTGTTGGGGAACACCTGTCACTAAAAATAGGATCTGTAAGAAATGTCACCCCATCAAACTGGACCAGGGAGGAGGCATGACCTATCCACATGTGGCGAACTCCTGAAACTGGAGATGTAGCAAAGCGGGATAAGTCTGTTTTTACCACAGGCAATGTGCGATCAAGCTCCTGTAAAGTTAATAAAAATCTTTAAAATTTGATTCTTCTAAATAGTTCATTAGGCTATAAATAATACAATGATCTTTTTGTTTACATTTTTATTTATTTCAATCATTTAAGCAGAAAATTAAATTGTATAATTTTTGATGTGATATCCTGAAACTACAATAAACAAATCTTGACCTAAAAAAAAGCTTTTTTTGTGTGTATAAAACATAATAACTTTTGAAATGGTATTCTTAGAATTAATAAATACATTAATGAAAATAATGTTTCGTATATTTATTCTTGCAACTGCAAATTTAAAAAATAAAAGTTCAAAGTATTTGGCTTAAATATCAACAGATTCAAACATCACCCTTTGATCAGGAATTGACCCTTCATTTTGAGAGAAAAAAAGAAATTTGAACATTTGACCAAATGATGGCCGTTGCCAAGTTTTCCAAGGATTTTGATATTTCCCATTCTGAAAGAGGGGCTTCACAAAGTCTTCTTCCTTAAGTTTACTGCTACCTTCTGCCATAAATCTGTAAAATAAATATTGTGTTGAATTTTAAAAAAGCTTTAATAAAAGATTTAAGGCAAGAAATTTAGTAAGGCACCGGTACACTACATTTGTTGGACTCAATATTACTTAGACAATGAATTAAAAGAAATGTATTGAATCAATAAATTTGATTGGCATGATTTTTTATGTGAAAAATGAATGATTCATTTCAATACCATGAAATAAAATTGCTCATTAATTTATTTATTGGGCCGGCTTATATTTATGATATAAATTAAATGAATGATGATTTATACTAAAAATAAAATAACACTTAGACTTAGACTTCAGTCATAAGTCTTATAATACTTTTGCCTATTGCACTGAATGGATATTGAGTTAATAACGTTAAAAGATTTTTTTAAAGTGAAGACTGATTGAATGGAAAAAAAGATTATTAACGTTAACCATACCCCCAGGATGGAAGCCACCCATTTTGTGTACTAAATTTCTGCCATGCATTATTGGCCAAGCCTATTGGGCCTCCATATATCACTCATGTACCCAGCATATTATATGCACACAAAAAGGCATTTCCAGTGGACTTTAATATTATTGACCATAGGCCAATAAAAATCAGCATCCTTGTAAGCACCCTGAGTATGGGTGGTATCCTGTGTGTGGGCAGTACCCGGTGGGAGGGCAGTGCTCACCTCTTTTGTGGGTTGGCAGTACCCTGTGCGTGGGCGGTACCCTGTGGGCAACACCCAGTGAAAAAGAATTTTAAAAAAGCCAGAAACGTATAGATGAACCTTTAACCTTCAAAATATGACTGGGAAAAAAAATGGTACGTCAAGAGGCATTATTCTGATTGTTTTGGCTCCTTGATAATCATTGAAACTCACTCACTGTTCTTGGCACCGGAGAATATCTTGAAACTTAAAAGAAGCAAAGAGAAAAGCATCTATCTTGTGGAAACAACTACCATTTTTTCGGCAGCACATAACACTCAAATGTGTTGACATAAATTATAGTGATTTGTACACACACAGAAGGAATAAAAATGAATAAAAAAGATTGGAGTGATACAAATTTAGATGAAACAGAGGCTTAACCTTGGATGCCGATTTTATGCTGGTGCTATTGATCAAAACTTTACAAATACCACCCTCCTGTTTGATACAAATGGAGGCAATGCCTCGCGGTGAGTAGCAATGTCAAGGAAAAGATTTGTGATGCTCCTAAACCACTTGCGATTCCACCACAAGAAAACAAGAACCCAAAGGAAAGCAATAGCCCCAATTACAGAAAATGTTTATATTTTCCAAACAAATCTCAGCCGATACTTTGTTTCCAGCAGTAACATCACAGTTGATACTATGTTCCCAGCAGTAACATCACAGTTGACATTATGTTCTCAGCAGTGACATCACAGTTGCTGAGCAACTCATTCCATATTTGAAAGGTGCTCTTTCATACAATATTTGCCCAACAAACCAGATAAGTGTGGCATCAAAACTTTCTGGGCATGATGCAGAAACATCTTATTTGTTGAAAGGGAAGCAGTACTTGGGAAAAAAAGAGGCACCTTGGCTAACAGCAAGGCAAAAAATCTTGGAGCAAAGACTGATCTGGAACTTGTCGAGCCATTCAATGACAGTCGCCGCAATATCACATCTGACAACTTCTTTACTGACTTGAAGCTTGTTAACAATCTCACAAAGCAACCTTTGGGACAGAGAGATGAAATAAAAGATTTCTATCCCAACAGTTCCAACAGCCCAAATATCAAAAGTTGAATGATTTGGTTTTTTTGGAATTTCAACAGAGGCCACTATCCCATCCTATCAGTCAAAATTATTTTGCTGCTTTCTCGGACACTGCTTCTCAGCTAAGTGCTATATTTTTATATACATATTTTATTCTGTTTTTTCTGTTGTTTGTTTGCTGACAAAGGTTTCCTGCCGACATTTTCGTTGTTTTGTTGCGTTTCTTTTTTTTTAGGTTTAACCTTACTTTGCTTCACTCATTTCCTATTTGCTAACCTGATTGCAGTCTCTCTCCTTATTACCCAAAAAAGGAACTAGAAGTCATCCTATTGAACACCATGCATGATGACAATGCTGTGACTCATGGTGAGAAATGGAAGCTTGAAATTGTAATTGATTATAACAAAACCAACAGTGGCACTGACTACATGGACCAAATGGGCACACTTCTTTACAAGCAAATACAAAAATAAAGCGGTGGTCAATGGTAATGTTTTACAATATTTTATTTTTGAATGCTCTTGCCACAAGGATCTTGTGATCAAAAGACAACTGGCCCATGCTGACAATAGACAGCGTTTTATCATGGAGATTGCAAGGGAGCTGATGATAGCAAACATGAAGAAGAGAATGCAGTTGCCAAATGTAATTCCTTGAGAAATGTGAGGAAACAGTATCTCCAATGCATTACAGGTGTTCATGAAGAATGACGGAAAAACAAAAACTGTGTGTGTAAAATGTGAAATGCCAATATGTAAAGAGCTAATCTCACCACTTGTGAACAATGTGAAATAATAAAATAAATTATTTCCGTTAATTAAAACATGAAATCATGACAATTAATACATGTCAGTGTCATGCATGTGTAGCAGTGTCCTTACAAATACCAAACTAAACAATTTAAGCAATGGTTATTTATACTTTTTATGGTTTTGTGCAAACATTCTCAATTCTTTTCTCTATATAAATATATAAGGGTGGATTCCACCTACGAGGTACTCTCAAGCAGAGAAAACACAGGATATGGTGAAGGTTAAAAGTAAAAGTTAAAATGATTAGTGATTATGTCAGTTGATGGCTATGGCATTTAAATGACTGATTTAAGTAAGTTTAAGCTGAGTTGATGAGAATGATATTCGGAGATGATGTAGTCAATAAGGTATGCCGGAGTGAGACGTGAGATGGGATGCTGAGCTGATGCCAGATTCTGCTATTGATGGTATTATATTTATTTTCTTTAGTATGAATAAAGTAAGTATAAGTATAAGTGCCATCTAAAATTATATTAAATTATAAATAAATATAATAATAATGTAATTTAATTAGGCCGTCCTGACGAGTGGGCATCTCCAACGTGCCGCTCCGCGGCCCGATACGTCGGACCGGGGAGGGGTAATTTGGGGGGGGGGGCATAAGAGTCTAGACTCGCCCCGCTGACGCCATTTCTTAATGAGGGGGGGGGGATTTGGGGGGGGGGGGGGCATAAGAGTCTAGACTCGCCCCGCTGACGCCATTTCTTAATGTAACATTTCAATTAGGCCTAGCCTATGAATAACCGTACATCATTAACGCCTATTATTAACAATTAATAGCGTTGCCGTTATACTAATATTAATAGTCATTTGAGTCATTTGCATTGTCAATGATAGTCAATGACCCTCATGAATGATGATAATGATGTGTACAAAATTATAAGTATTAGTATTAGACTTCGTTTTCTCGTTTTGCTTTAACATTTTTATTTTTAAAAAATCAACCATTATAGCTGGTAATTATATCCACTAATTAGTTAATTACAGACTACTGAGTTACTTTACTAACTAACCGTTCTTTCCGGGCGTTAGATAAGAAGTAAGAAGGCGTTGTATTATTATTAAACCGAAACTGGTAATTTCTAGATGTTTAAAAATATATTAGCTGCACAAGACCAATCTAAATCCCGGTACAAGTTTTTTAGTTACTAAATCAACAAATAGGAGAGCCCTTTGACGTTTGAACTTTGATCTCAATATTGTTATAGTTTTCTAGTGACAAAGTAGGTAGGAGTAAACTTATTCATCAATGCAGACATTGGAGACTCCAGCTCTCAAAATATAAGGAAACAATATTTAAAGGCAATAGTTGTATTACTTGTCAGTCTATGAACAACTCATGGGATGAAATATATCCAAGACTTAGATTACTTAGACTTAGAACTTAGAAGTTGTTTATTCAGAGTTGGATTAAAATTAAATGTTACAATTACAATTTACATGTAATGTAGTCATGTAGTCATCATGTAGTTAAGTTTGGCAATTAAGTCGAATGTATCCCTAAATCGATCCCTATGCTGCATGCCTAACCTGAGCCCTAAATCGATCCTTATTCACTATGCCCCTATGCCTAACCTGAACCCTAAATCGATCCCTAAACTTAACCTAAACCCTAATTCACGGCAACTATAATTTTAAAGACACAAAAGACGCCGTGGCAGCCGTCCTCGGTTTTAGCCAAATTATCATAACATTCAGATGATCAGTCAACTCCTGCAAAGTTCATTAATATTACGGATCCCTTAATTAATATTAATGAGCAGTGTTTCTCGGTCACGAAAGCATAAACACCTGGTCACATATAATAACAGTTCTCAAAAACTGGCTAGGTGTTTATTTTAGGGTTTTGTTTATTTTTTCCCCACAAATCCTAAAAATAAGAGGGTAGTCTATCGTTTTTTGTTTTGTTTTTTTTTTTGTTGTTGTTGTTGTTTTCTTTGAAATCTTTTGTTTTCCTTTAAATATTAAATAACAATAACAAACAATTTGGGGAACACTGAAGGAAATAATTGAAACACAGTATGGGAATGGGACAACTTGAAAAAAGGAATATATAAATGTTGTCAATGTGACAATAGACTACAGTATATTTTCTATCATATTGGGATGTAATATAGTTGAATTTAATTTCCATCTTCTTTTTTATTCTCTTCTAGAATTCAATATGTTGAAAGCAGTCATCTTATTTGGTGTGTTTGTGCTGTTGAGTGTTTTGGTCAGTAGAACAGTTTATTTCTCTCAAAAAAGTTCTCCAGTTATGGAATGCAAGACCACTGATGCTGACTTTATTGTGCTATCTAATCTGAGACTCAATAGGTTTCAAACAGCTTTGCAGTTTCAGACTATAAGTAAAAGTGCTGAAGATTACAACAGAGAAGCGCTGCAAAATTTTGGAGATTTCATTGTTAAAAGTGAGTTGGAAAATATGACATTAGTCAATGTTAGACACAGCAAAGGGCAATAAAAAATGGGGAGTCAATGGATGCCTCAGGCATCAAAATCAATGCCGCCTAAAAAAATTATTTTTCAATCAAAATGTGTATGAATACTTATTTGGGAATGGGGCACCAAAAAGCAGTGCTTTGCCCCAGGTGCAACTTTTGCATGCCACATCAATGGTTACAGCTTTCATTATGAAACAGATTTAATGATTATATAGATTATGTGAGCTTTCATGGTAAGCTTAACAGTTTATTTCAACAATGCACCCTGCAGTTTAAGTTTCCATTTTCTTCTTATAATATCAATGATGCTGAGGACGATCTATCAGCCAATATAACTGATATTAAGTTAAATAAAATGTTGTCATTCATATTTTTAAATATACTTTAATTTTTTACAATTTCAGGCAATCAGCAGATATGTTGTTTTTCATCTTATTAAATTTCTTTAGTTTTAATAGACAACTTTTTTTTATCATTATTATTTTAATTTTTTTCTTTCTTTCTTTTTTTTTAAAATCAGACTTTCCACATCTGCACAATTCCTCATTGGTAGAATTGGAATATGTAGGCAATTACAGCTTACTATATGGTGTCAAGGGCAGTAATCCACAACTGAAGCCTTATCTCCTCATGAGCCATCTTGATGTTGTGCCAGCCACCAACCTTGAAGAATGGGATGCCCCTCCATTTTCTGGAGATATTTTAAATGACCACATATATGGTCGTGGCTCAATAGATGTGAAGCAGTGTGTCATGGTAAATAACTTATTTGCAATGACATGGATATGGCCATCACTTAAACTTTTCTATATTCACTCTCATGGGCTTGAATTTATGAACATCACCAATCTTTCAAACATTCAACAACATTAAAATTCATGGGAGATTTCATGATCTGTTTAATCTTAGGTTTAAAAGCTCTTACTTACACATATCAAGTTAACTATTACGCATCCATTCTTGACCTGGATAAAAAGATGTAATTTAGAGCCTTTAGCCTTGTTAGTCAATTTTTACAATTTTCTTTCAAATTCTGTTCCACAAATTTTTTTTTAATCTGTCAATTTATTAATTTTTTTAGTGGAAAAATTTGATGTAAATACTTTAAATTTAGGGGATTCTTGAAGCTGTAGAATTTCTCCTCTCTACTGGGATTCAACCGAAACGATCTTTCTACATAGCATTTGGTCATGATGAGGAGGTATGGTTTTTCTCATACTTTATTTTCTCTGCAAATTTATTAATATCAAAACAGTTTTTTTTTAATTGAACCTGATTTATACTGACAGCTGTAAGACTAAAGCTATTTTTGTGTAGACAGCCTACTTCAAACCCAATTTGGCTGCTGTAGACCTGGTTACTGTTATGATTTTGGCATACAATGTACGATTTTGAGATGTCTTTTAAAATTGTATGCAGAGACCCTTCAAAACTACAAGTTTAAGAGTTTAAAAAAATATAAAAAAATGTTAAGGACTTGTATGTATTTTTTTATTGCATGTTGTTTGGAGAGTATTTGGGTAGATGTTGCTATTAAATGCTTGTATTTTGTGAACTATTTTGTGTGAGGGGAAATGGCTGTTATTGTTATATGTTGTGAGTGAGTAATGGCAGCAGTTGACAATGTAGTTTAGTTGTGCGGTTAATAGAGATACTTTATTCTATGAATCGATGGTTTGTTTAATGATTGTAACCCTAGACAATAATGCTATAGAACCTAGTAAGATTGGTTTTGTAAAAACACGTTATATGATATACATTATATTCATGGATTGCACTTTATATTATTGTAGCTTCCTGTTTAAATCAATTTCTAAGAAATTAGTGTTATTTTTTTGTTAATTGCAGGTTCAAGGAAATAGTGGGGCAAAAATGATATCAAAGAGACTAAAAGAGAAAGGAGTTCATACATTAGAGTTTATTTCTGATGAAGGTCTGCCTTTAACAGAAGGTATTATCCCAGGAATAGGGAAGGCTGTGGCAAGGCAAGTTTCAATGTTAATTTTGAAATAATTAGGGTCTCATTTTTATACTTTTGTGTTTATGATATTGCAATTAGTGCCTTCAATTATTTAAACAGATAAATACAAATTTACAAAAGAGAAATATTCAAATCTAGTTGTGACGATCATATGTCCCACTGCAAACAACTGATTTCAAGATTCAGTTACAGATGTTTGCTACTAAGCATGCCTACATTCTTGAATGCTACTAAACATGCCTACATTCTTTCATATTTTCAAGTTTATATTTTAAATCTTTACCATTATGACTCTGCAAAGTTTGTGTTCTTGTGATTTTATTTAGTATTATAAATTATATTGCCAAACGGTGAAATTTATCCTTATGTTGTGATGTAGTGTTGGTGTGAGTGAGAAAGGTCAAGTCTTACTCAGGTTGTCTGTACAAGATGCTCCTGGACACTCGTCAATGCCGCCAAAGGAGTCCACAATTGGCATACTTGCTAAAGCTATACACAAGTGAGTGGCTTGGTAACAAACATCAAATGTGTAATTACAAACAATGTCATGACCAACTAGAAAAGGTATTTTAAACACAGGGCACCATTTTTTTTAGCCATTTGAATGATTTCAGTCATTTTTCAATATTTAGATTAATTACACACAATTTATGTAAATAAAACTTATGTATTCAGCTTTAATGATGATTATACAAAATACAAATTTAGACTTTTCGGCAAATGCCTTCATCAATAAAAAAGAAATTTTTTAAAATAAAATAACAATAAGATAGAAAAATTATTTCTTTTTGCAAAACAAATACATTACAATAATGCAGAACATTTCAAGGGACAAATAAAATATATGTCTAAGCATAATGTTCATAAATCTACAAAAAAAATTCCATTAACAAAGTTTTAAACAAAAGAATATACTTAATTATATCAATTTATTATTTTTTAAAATTATCATTTTGCATCAGTTATTATTTACATTTAAAAAATGTTTTAGTTATTTTGACCCCCTCAGGTAACTAAATATACCCTCTTCAAAAGTTTGAGTTGAATTGATTTTGAGAGAGTCATAAAAGATCAAATGAATTTAAATAAGTTGAAGTAACAGCAAATACTTTTCAGCTCAAGTGTAATGAAAAATTCCACTTGCTCTCTAGCACTTTAATATCCTGATTAATAATTTGAATTGATCCATAAGCTGAAATGCAATGCACAGAAATTGATGACAGCCTCATTGACATTTTAACAGCAAGGTTATTTAACATAAAGTAGTTTCGCTTTATGTTTATGTAAAAAGATAATTAAGATTGAACATGTGATATGAGATACCTGCTATTCCAATATAAAGATTGACACTCGTAATTATATTGCTACTAGTTGTAATCTTAACTTGGTATAGATTTAAATTTAATCAATGTAGCTGCTTTCCACAAAAGACTTGAGATTTATAACAAAAGTAGAAGAAAATAAACATTAAATAGTTTGAAATTATTAGTAATTTTCATTCAGAAGCTCTATTTTGAAATTTTTAATGAATGTACAAAATGTTTAAAATGTTAGCCTTGATAATACCAAAGACGGATAAGAGCAAATTTATTCCTATGATATCAAATGTTTCAATGCTCCTTTGGATATGTTGACTATCTAAGCCAATGACTTGGTTACTGGAACTTGTAAACTTTCATAATTTCATTGAGTAATAGTAAAATACTCTCACTCTGGTCTAGGTCCATTAGCATATTCCAAACTTCTCCACCATTAATACAATCAGTGACTATTTTCACTTTGATTTAATTTAAATGGAGAAACTTTTAATAATATAATTAAATAAATTATCAAAAATGAAGCAAACAAATATTTTTAATTTATAAAGTATAGAAATATAGCCTTAGTGTAAAGAAAAAAAAAAGTTTTAAAATAATATAAAAAATGGAAAGATCCATTTAACAGAATCCAACACACTACCTCTCTGTAAAAAGCTAGCTAAGAAGAAGCTAATTCCCTCGCCTATATCACTGATTTTAATTCTTGTGGTCATTCTCACTTTTAACAACATACAATTTTTTTTTTCTGCACATTACACTTGACTTGAAAATTTATTAAAAATGTGCACTTCATGTTTGGATGCAACCAACAGTGTACTTGAATAGTTGATGTTGTAGGAATGATTAATTAAATGTTGTTGAAAGAATTAATACTTATTATGGAGAGACTAAAATATTTCAGCCGAAGTTTGTTTTGTTAATCCACACACAGCATCATTATTAGTTCTCTTGCTGCTGAGGGAGTGAAGAATCCACACACAGCATCGATATTAGCTCTCTTGCAGCTGAGGGAGTTGAGCACATATTCCTGGTCAAGGGAAACCAAATGTCTGGACGGCAATAGAATCAGAGTAAAATGATATATACGCCATCAAAAATATGCATGCATTCTTTTCATTTTAAAAAAACTTGATAAAATCCCCTAAGCTATGAAAAAAAGCAAATTATCCTAAATTAAACCATTTTAAAATGAAAAATAGCATTCTGAATATTTCAGACTTGAATCAAACCCTCATCCAAGCATGCTTGGCTATGGAGCTGAGACTGCAATGTTAGAGCAACTGGCCCCAGAGGTAAGGTAGACGACTCTCTTGTAAGTTCTTAAAGATTTAAATTTTAAAGCAACAGTATTAACTTATTGAGCTTTCATCTGTGTCTGAAGGAAGTATCAATGGGGAATTACTTGTAAATGCGTTGTTCAGTGTTGTTGTGGGACATTTGGCATTGAAGTTTGACATTTGGTGTTGTAGTGTGATAGTTAGTGTTGCAGTGTGACATCTTTTGTTAGAGTCTACAAATTTCCTAATCCAGCATTTAGTTTTAATATAAGCTTAATACAATTTTCAGATTCTTATTTTAAAAATTGCATACCATACTTTCTAATATATAGTTAGCTAAAAACACAAGTTGGGGATTTCCGCTAGCCCTATAGATAAAGAATTGGAAATTTTGTGAATATAACCATTATATTCTGTGTAACTATCAAATTCTATATAATTATCACATTCTGAATAAGGGTGCCTTCCATAAATAACATCATCATCATCCTTTTTGGTTTATTATTAAACCCCCCTTTCCTCCACAGTCACATATTTGTCACCCACCCCTCCTTGATGCATGTCATAATCTATCTCATTCTTTATAATGATCACATTCTGTATCATTTGCAGATGAATGTTATCCAAAGATTTGTAATAGCCAATATTTGGCTCTTTAAACCTTTGCTATCATGGTAAGTTGGTGAAATTTTAGTGTAAAAATTATTCTTAATCAGCCAAACGTTTTACTGTGTGACTGACTGTACAGTGTTTGATCTTGTTATTTAAATTCATAGCTACAATAGACTTAGAAATCAAAAGCTTGAATTATTGTAAGCCCTGTGTAAAACTATGTTGGTTACATATGAACTAAATAAATAAATTGCTATTTTTTTTAGAAAGGAATTTTTCAAAAATAGTTTCCAAATTAAAAATTTGGAATTTAAAAAATAATTCATACATCTTGTGTTAAAATCTAAATGTGTTCACAGACACACACACACCCACACCATCCCCAAATCCAAAAACACACCAAAAAATCCTAATTTTTAGGTCACATACTATGATGAAAAGATTTTTTTTAAAGTAGCAACATAGTAGATATTTTTCATTCACATATGGTGGTACTGTAATTTTTATTCAAACTAAACAACAGCAATACATAATCTGAAGTCAAATAATAAGTAACATATGGTAGTGATTAAATTTATAAGAAAACATAGAACTAAAATTATTGTATTCACCTTCTCTTATTAAATTATTATATGCTTGAGCACCATCTAAGGTTATAGGAAGTCTATTTACCATCTAAGGTTATAAGAAGTCTTTGCAAATAGGTAAGAATAAATTACAAATGGACAAAACTTGTTAAAATTAAACTTGTTAAAAGCTTAAATAACAAGACAGTGACAGCATCAAGTTTCTGTATTTTTTGTTCTATAGTTTCTTCTATTGTTTGTTTTTCAGGATCATGTCCCAGAAACCTTTGACCAATGCAATGATAAGAACAGTAACTGCAGTCACAATATTCAATGCTGGAGTCAAGGTAACTTGGAGCGGAGGGTTGAATATTTTATTTTAACACTTATAATATATAATGTAATGTAGATTTTATAAACTCTTGAGATGGGAGTTTTTAAGAATAAAATTTTTTGGAATAGAGATATTGATGAAAATTGTCTGAGCTTTTAATAGGTAACTTGACCCTAAATGAAAATGAGATATTGAAAAGAGAAAAAATTACACTGCTTGTTTCTACTTTTTATTTTACTTGAATGTCAGTTATGTTTCAACATTTGCTCCATAAGATCAAGTGTGTACTGCTACTAAATGAAGTACATTCCTTGCACAATTTCACTACTTAATTATTGATTTTGTAATAGATTAGCAGTATAAATTTTTAAACTGATTTTCTTCTTGGCTGTTAACAACTACATATTTCTTTAATTGGTAAGTCTTTTGGATCTTATTGCACTAGACTTTACAACTTTAATTTGGTTGTTATTTATTTACAGAACAATATTATTCCCCCACTTGCGGAGGCAGTTGTCAACCACAGAGTCCACCCATCACAAACAATAGAAGAAGTATGCTTTAACTATATTTTTAGATATTAGATAAGCCATGGTATTTTCAATCTAACAATTAAGTAAATTTCCTATTTCGCCTAGATATATTTATAAAAATCTCTGTCATCAGTTCAAATGATCAATAAAAAATTTAAGAATCTCATTTAACATGCTCGGATAACTAATCTTTATTTAATGAATATGCAAAAATTTTGTTGGCTGACTTCTATGTCTTATACAGGTGGTAGAGTATGATCGTGCCATCATCGCTGACAGTCGAGTGAAGATAAAAATTGAAAGCTTCACAGACCCTCATCCTATTGCGGGCTTTACAGATAATGACTTTGGATTTCAGGTAAGTCATCTCAAAGTAACATACAAAACTTTACCTCATTAACTGCCATGAGGTGTTCCAATATGTGATAATCAAAATATTGAGTGTATTTAAAACTATGCCCTGTTCCAATGTGCACCAACTAAAATATTGAGTATATTTTAAAAAACTGTGCACTATTCCAATATATTGTATCTAAAATATTGAGTATTTTTAAAACTGTGCCCTGTTCCAAGATATTCTAACTAAAATATTAAGTAGCCTGTATTTAAAACTGTGCCCTGTTTCAATATAGGCCTATTCTAATTGATAAGATTTGGTACATCGACTCCATATGGGATAAACCACAATTTTACTTAATTGCAATGTCTTTTTCCTGTTTGGTTTTTTACATTTTACTCTAAGTCACTCCCTTTACATTCTTCTTTACTTTATTTCTGTCTGTTTTTTTCGCCCACTCCTATTTTTTCTCCCCTTTTTTAGGTAGGATATAGGTATATATATATTATGTAAATTTAATGTATACTTATATATTGTCTTTTAGTTTTAGTTGTACTGATGAAGGCATGTGCCGAAAGATATACTTTTGTATTCTGTAAAATTATTATTAAAGCTTAACTTATATTGTTATCATCATCGCCTGTCGTCCCGTCTGGGGCATAGGCCACAAACAAAGGCTCTCCAGGCATCCCGGTCTTGGGCAAGTCTCTCCAACTGTCCCCAGTTGTGCCCACTCTTTTTGATGTCTGCCTCCAGTTCCCTTCTCCAAGTTGTTTTGGGTCGACCTCTTTTTCTCTTACCCTGGGGGTTCCAAGTCAGGGCTTGTCTCGTGATACTTGATGCGGGCTTTCTGAGAGTGTGGCCAATCCATCTCCATCTGCGCTGGCAGATTAACTCTTCCACTGGTTCTTGTTGTGTGCGCCGCCAGAGATCCTCGTTGGTGATGACGGTGGGCCAGCGGATTCGTAAAATCGTTCGGAGACATGAGTTGATAAAGGTCTGTAGCTTTTTTGAACCAGCTGCTGTTGTTCGCCATGTTTCTGCCCCATATAGCAAGACAGGTTTCACTGTGGTGTTGAATACCTTGACCTTGGTCTGGAGGGTCAAATTGCTGCAGCTCCAGACCTTTTTTAGCTGGTTAAATGCCGCTCTTGCCTTACCAACTCTCACTCTTATGTCGGCGTCTGTCCCTCCTTGTATGTCAATGATGCTGCCGAGGTATGTAAAGCTATCCACCTCCTCAAGGTTTGTTCCTTCCAGTGCTATAGGTGTGTTGCTTGATGTATTTATTTTAAGGACTTTGCTTTTTCCTCTGTGGATGTTCAGGCCGATGCAAGCAGAGTACTGTGCTACATAATTGGTTTTCTCTTGCATCTGTTGCTGTGTGTGTGATACTAGGGCCAGATCATCCGCAAAATCCAGGTCATCAAGTTGTTTCCATAGTGTCCACTGAATACCATTTCTCTTCTGCTCTGTAGACATTTTCATTATCCAATCAATGGTCAGCAGGAATAGGAAAGGCGAGAGCAGACACCCCTGTCTGACACCGGTCTGTACCTCAAAAGCCGCCGTTGTTTGTTGGCCGTGGACAATTCTGCAGGATAGTCCTTCGTAAGAAGCCTTAATTATGTCTGTCAATTTTTGTGGTACCCCGTAGTGTCTAAGCAGCTTCCACAGAGTCTGTCTGTCGACACTGTCAAAAGCCTTCTCATAGTCAATGAAGTTGACGTATAGTGACGAGTTCCACTCCAGAGATTGTTCCACAATAATTCTCAGTGTGGCAATCTGGTCTGTGCAGGATCTGTCTTTTCTGAACCCTGCTTGTTGGTCCCTAAGATTGATGTCTATTGCCTCCCTCATTCTGTTTAGCAGCATTCTGTTGAATACTTTGCTTGGGATCGACAGCAGGGTTATTCCCCTATAGTTAGAACAAGAACTAAGGTCTCCTTTCTTCGGGAGCTTAACGAGGTGTCCTTCTTTCCATTCAGCCGGTATCTGTTCCTCCTCCCATATTTTCTTGAATAGTGTGTGTAGCATTTCAGTGCTAGACGTAATATCTGCTGTCAAGGCTTCTGTCGGTATTCTGTCAGGACCTGCCGCCTTGCCTTTCTTTAGTTGTTTAATTGCTCTGCATATTTCTTGCTTTGTGGGTGTGCTGCACTCTATTTCTAGATCTTTTTCCGCTGGCTCTATGTTGAGTGTGTGTTGTGGTGCTGGCCGGTTGAGGAGTTCTTCAAAATGTTCTATCCATCTTTTTTTCTGACCCTCTTCATCAGGTATTGATTTCCCATCTTTAGTTTTAACTGGTCTCACTGGATTGTTGAACTTTCCAGATAACTTTTTGATTGTACTGAATAATTCTCTTGTGTTTCCATGGTACGCAGCCTCCTCTGCTTCACTTGCTAATCCTTCTATGTAGTTCTTTTTATCTGTCCTTATACTACGTTTAACTTCTTTATTTGCTTCTGAGTATTCTGTTGATGCTCTGGCCTTTTCGGTTCTGGTGCGGCTATTGTTTAGATTTGCCTTCTTCTTTCTCCTATATTGGATTTTTTCCATGGTTTCAGCCGAAATCCATTCTTTATGCGTTTGTTGCCTAGGGCCCAACACTTCTTCACAGGTAGTCGTGAATATCTCTTTGATTTCTTTCCAGTTTTTGTCAATTGTTTCTTCATTGCCTAGTTCCTGTAAGATCTGGAACTTATTGGAGATGGTAAGTTTAAACTCCTTTAGCTTGGACTCATCTTTCAAGAGGTTGATGTTAAAATGTTGGCGCTTGCTTCCCTCGCTTGTCCAGTTCTTTTTCAGTTTCAGCCTTAATTTGGCAATAATTAGATGATGGTCTGAGGCTACATCTGCCCCTCTTTTTACCCTAACATCTTGGAGCGACCGTCTAAACTTATTGCAAATACAGAAATGGTCAATTTGGTTAGCCGTTGACATATCTGGTGAAATCCATGTGGCCTTGTGGATATTTCTATGCATGAAGAGGCTTCCTCCGATGACTAGTCCAATTGTAGCACATAGATCTGCTAGTCTTTCACCATTTTCATTCATCTCTCCCATACCATGTGTTCCCATGCATTCTTCATAGCCTTTATTGTTGCTGCCTATTTTCGCATTTAGGTCGCCCATGAGTATAACCATATTGCTCTTAGGACACCTTTGGACCAGGGTTCGCAGTCTGTTGTAGAAATCCTCTTTGTCCTCTTCTTTACTATCGTTGGTAGGAGCGTACACCTGTAGGATGTCCATATTGATTTTTCGTTTTTTTGTCTTAAATCTTGCCGTGATTATACGGGAACCATGCGCTTCCCACCCTATAAGTGCGTTCTGGGCAGTTCTGGAAAGCATGAGTGCCACTCCTTGGTTGTGCGCCGCATTTTCATCTTCGTGGCCTGAATATAGCAGCAGTTCCCCTGTGTTGAGCTTTATCTGACCTGAGCCTATCCATCGAGACTCACTTATTCCCAAGATGGCTAGTTTGTATCTTTGCATTTCAGCAGCAACTTGGACAGTTTTTCCAGTTTCGAACATGGTCCTTACGTTCCATGTTCCTAGACTGGTGGTGGTCCTAGTGGAGAGGATGGTTGTCCGCCGGTTGGTTTCCAGTTGGCTTTGGCCACCCAGCTTCATTAATTCTCTGTTAGGAGACCCATCCTTTCCAAGGTCCGAGTTTCCTTTTGAAATCTTTCTTTGTGTTTTTGTAGCAGGGCTTTTTTTACAGGGAAGGGTTGCTAGCCCTTCGCCCAACCCTCCTCCTTTCTCACCCGGGCTTGGGACCGGCTACGGCGGAGTTTTATATTGTTATATTGAAACAAATTGTTTGTGTCTAATTTATCTATTTTAAAGCTTTATCGCACTCCAACACTTTTTATAATTAGTTGATTTAACTAAAACAAGTGTTTTTTATTTAATAATGAGTCTAATTAATATTTTTTACCACATTTCTAAGGCATTAAAAACAAGTATACGACAGGTGTGGCCAGGATCTTTAGTTGTCCCAGGTGAGTTGATATCTGGAAATGTATGAATTAAATTACTAGAGTTGTCCAAGTTGAGCTGTTACTGTTATAAATAACAGTTGAACTGTTGCAGGTTAAATCAATCTGTGACTATATTAATTCCATCATTCACAATATTCAAGAGAAGTATATGTATCTATTTATCTGTCTATCTATGACCGTCTTTCCAGGAATAATGCTGGCCAATACAGACACACGACACTACCTCAATTTTACCAGCAATGTTTACAGATTTTCTCCCACATACATGTTCCCGGGTGATCAAAACCGTTTCCATGGCATCAACGAGCGCATCTCCATCAAGAATTATGAACAGGTGATCAACTTTTTCTATCACTTGATAAGGAACTCAGACCAAACAGGAGTAACATCTGTCCACGTCCATCACCAAGACTTGTAGTAGGCTGGTGAAGCTGATGTACTTTTGGCATTGTTTTCAATTATCTACTTTTACCTATATATTAATTATTTGATATATTCAGTTACTCATGTCATCTAGATTTTAATTATAAAACAATAAACTAAATTAACTTTAATTTTCTTTAATTGTAAAAATTGATTAAAAAATGGAAATATTTATGGTATTAAGTTTTCATGATTAATTCAAATTTTGATTTACATCCGTTATGCCATACCGTAATATGGAATAGACTTTTTTATATTTGTATCTTGCAAATATATATCAGCCAGTAATATCAATTACAATATTTTTCATGTCTTAAGATTCTGTCAAATAATTGTTTCATCTTGCGATAAAGGTACTGGTAAGCAGAATTTGATATTACTGTTTAACATTTTCATTTTGGAGCAATGTTAATTTCTTAATGTCTTCTTTCTATTTCTATGCACTCAGGATTTTTTTAATGTACATCTTACTCAAAGAGATATAATTAATATTCAATTTTTATGTGAATTTCATGTGAAGAGCAAGAGTTCACTGGGTTTATAAAGAGTTTATCTAATAAGAGTTAGTCAAAATTATGTAAGCACTTAAATGGTATAAAACATTTATTTACAAAACATAATTGTGCAAGATGATTCACAGGATTGTCTCCACCTGTTTGCCATGATGCTCAACTCTCAAAAACCAGCAAGCAGCAGTATTATTTTAAGCCCGCACAATCCATGTTCTGTCTTGAGGTCATTAATATTATTAACCTTCCTGCTTTACAAGCATTCTTTCAGCATACCCCATGACCAGAATTAAAAGGGAGTCAAATCCAGGTGTCTGGTTGCCATGACAATGGTCCATCATGACCTATCAATCCATCTGGGATTGTGGGGTCCAGATAAGAACAAACTCTGTTGGAAATATTACACCATGCCATATTTAGTTGAAGTGCATCAATGGTGTAGTTTTGCACCATATGTACGAGATCACTGTTAAAGGTGTCAAAATGTGGGGCCCAATTTTATCTGTAGCTGTCATGTGTCACCACACATACACATTGAGGAGGTGGGGATGTCAAGTTTGTGCAAATAATCCATTAGTACAATGTTCCCACAGGTGATCCCTGTACCGACACTCATCTGTGAGCCTTAAGTTGCCGGTCTGCACAACATGATTATTTATGGTAAAATAAAATACAATTCATAAATCAGGCACCAGACTTGGTTTGGTAAGCGCTGCATTAGTATTTATATACTTCTCACATTTCTTGTTCATCTCGCTATTTTAATGGTGGCTTCCATTAATAGTTTACAGTGTTCTATCTATTTTAAAGCAATTTTTTTTTACCTAGTCACCCCTATAAATTATAAATGCTTAAGACGTATGCGACCTTGAAATATGCCAAAAGGTATGAGGACCCCCATTGGAGTATTCTATGCAGTTTTTCACAGTGAATCTCATTCAAATGTTTGTTAGGACTTTTTTAGGCTTCAACAGTCAGAAAATGTAACAAAATTCTGCAAGTAAGACATTTTTTATTCTAAATCTATTTGCATATATGTTGGGATTTGAGTTTGATACATAAAGATCATATTTATTCCTTCAATTCCCTACAAGAATATCTATAGTTTTCTTTTTGTTAAGTAATTAGTTTATATTTATACATTTTTTTGCAAAGTAAGTGCAGGGCTTTGTGAAAAGGCTCCATCTTGGCACAGACATTCCAAAAAAGGTTCATTCTCAAGAGGGTGAACATGAGCAGATGACCAAACGAAAGAACAATGAAATAATCTGACTACTACATCATAACCAAAATATTCACTTTATTTTTATTTTATGACTATGGACTTTACCGACATTTATCATTTTCAAAGAAATAATATATTAGCTTACGAGATGACACGTTTTAGTGCTGCACATTCCCCGTAAACTTAAACATTTTTCAGACATAATTATTTGTACAAACATTACATTTATGCTTTATTCTTAAAACAGAGACATGCTTTCTTTTATAAAATTAAAATCTATAAATTTATGACTTTCACTTCAGCTGTTTAATGGAGGGATCAGGGCACCAACAAAAATATCATGAAACACAAAATTGAAATTGAGTAGTTCATACCAAATGGGTGTAGGGAATTCCTCAAATACAAAATCATTTTTTAAAACTCATTATTATTTAATTATTTAAAATCTGGATTACTGAACTTATTGCAGTTGTATTTCAAGAGTTATTTTGGTATTTATTATAGTTTCAACTGTTCCTTAAAACAGGTTGTTTTTTTAGAAAAACAAAGGGAAAATTGGAATGTAGTTGAAATAATCTTTCTAAAACATATTTAATTTTCATCTCCTGTTTGTTTGTTTTTTTATCTTATTAAGATAGCAGTCCTGATAAATCCATTTAAATTTCATGAACTTACACTTACAATGTTATTTTTTACCTCTTATTCAACTTATTCTCTATTTTATATTTTTGGAAAGTTTTTTAATTATTGTTCATTTTTAATGTATAGCTTGTATGGTATTTATTCCATATTTCTATAAATTATAATTTTATGCATATCATTTGGCCTTAAATTTAATTTTAAAAGAATAAAGCTTGAAATTGACATGAATTTTGCGTTTTTTAAAATATGAAAGTTAATTGTCCTTTTTTTAGTTAGCCTCCTTTTCAATTAAGATACAAATTATTATTTTTAATTGCCTACCAAGAATGCAATTGATTTTTTAACAATTATAAACACGTAGACATGCTAGTAGTAGGCCTACTGCTACTGTAGTTTAAATAATAATCCAATCAAAATCAAATCATTACATGATTACTCTGCTCTGGGGACACTGTTTTGCTGACCTGTTTGTCTAACAAGAGCTCCTTAGATTCAATATTTTAGTCTTGCACACCAAGAAGCAAGAGATTAAGTATGAGAAGATAATGATAGATAATTAGATATTTCACTGAGTGAACCTGTGAACATAGTAAAATAGTATTTTATAAACTCTACTCTTTATTCTTTGAGGCTAAGAATATTTCAAACTATTGTTATTTATTTTAATTATTTTAAAAAATACAAAATTAAGAGCTGGGTTCGACTGTATTGGACGGGCTGCAGACCAACGCCCATTCACAGATGCGATCCCACTACTGCTAGACACGAGGAATTTTGCCTGCTGGGTTTCCCCCCTGGGCCGATTCTTCCTTCCTTAGTCAACCTGGAGATCTCGGGCTCCCCCTAGACCACCATATTGATGCCAGGCTTAGTGCGGACACCCGATCGACACAGCACGCTCGAGAGCAGAACCCCCGTCCTCAAGCCGTCCACCAACTCAAGCCTCCAAGTAGCTGGATTACAGGAGTACGCCACTACTCCCGGCGATGAAGATCAGAAAAAATACAATTATATAGTTATTTTAAAACAGTTCTGCAATATCTTGAACGAAATGTTATGATTTTTAAATAGAATATGTTGATATATCGCATAATATATCAATTTAATTGATGGCATATGAAGAAATGTGTTTAAAAACATCAATTTCTTCATTTTCTGAACCTCGTTTTAGTTTTGGGTCAGAGGTCAAGGTAGAAACTTCACCTTTTGATAACAAAACATGAACTAAGATGAAAGTTTTGAAAGCCTAGTTATCATACTAGATCTACTTTGTACTTTGGAATATTTTAAATAAATTTCAGCTCCGCTAATTCTCCAAGTTAAAAAAAAAAAATTTTAAATTAATTTTCACCGTTTGAATCATAAGATTAGATCGAATTTAGTTCAAGAAGTAAAAATAATAAATTCCCACAGCAATTGCAATCAATCAATTGCAATAGTAACTCTCAAATAATAAAGGGATTTAATTATGTATAGCGGTAACATGTATGAATAGTAATAATACTGATATATCCCCTTATGTACTCTAAGCGTCATATGTACTTATTTTTTTTTAAAATGATATTGTGGAACAAGATACGTTTAGGCTTGCAAATGAGAGACAAGACAATTAAGTTTAAGCGGACGTCCCGGGTAATCCTAAATTTTCTTCGGAAGACAATACAATATATTCTACGGAGATAGCCTACGTTAAGTAAATAAATAATGGGTATGTTTAGGCTTAGGTTTGAAAATAAAAGACAAGACAGTTAAGCGGACGTTTCGGCTAGACGCCTTCTTCAGGAACAATACAAAAACAAAAGATACTTGTTTTTAAAATGTAGGACTCAACATGTCTAGCACTGGCAGCCCCTCATATTTATTTGTCTTGTATTTTCAGCCAATAAATCCCAATGAAATCATTTCATTATTTTAAATTTCACCCGGTCTTGCTAATCTTATTTTGCACGTTTTCCTGTGCAAAGAGGTACGTACTAAAAGTTATTAATCGGCACTTCTTTTGCACAAAAAATCATCATTATAAGATAACCTTTTCAAAATTTCACAAAAAACCATCGTAAAGAAAACGAAATCAATGGACATGTATTAAAAATCGCCGGACCTTAATACATGATCTAAACATAGATCATACCAGTATGATACAGTTACACATTTATAGTAACGGAACTTATGCAGTCAGGTCTGTGGAATGCCCGGCCTGACGTCTAATTATTTATTCACAACTGCTGGCAGTCGCATGTAGTAAAAAACTTGAAGTGGCTAAAATTCTGATTACAGCAGCTTCCACGATGTAAACCATTATGTTTTAAGCCTATGGCGTGGTGCAGAAGTCAGCCCCTCCTTCACCACAATCATCATGGGTAACTGTGTGTTTCGGTGTGGGTACACATTGTATGCCAACACGTGCATTGGGCGATGCATCCACAACAAACTCATTGACACATTCCAAAAGCAGTTTGGTGAAAACGCCGTCCATTCGAAACTAACGCCATTTATGTGAGGATATTCACCATTTCATTTCAGTCTCATAATCATAGTGTCATTCACGTATACAACGTTCATTTTTATTTTTCTTGACAAATCATTCCTCAATTTCAGATTGTATCGCTATATAACATTGCAACTCTCTCCGATAGTCTGACATACCTCTCTTTACGAATGTTTCCACTGAACTTAGTGCATGAGACATACCGGTACCTATAATGCTGGAGGTGTATTGAATGACATTATACAGGAGTTGTACTCTTTAGTTTAGACTAAGCCACTGCCTGTCTCTTTCCCTCCATTACATCCTCTTCCCGCTACATTAGTGACATTTGTGTACAGTTGAGAATAAACTCTAATACAGTAGGCCTCTAATTTAGTTCCATCTGCATACATTCGTCTCCCTATTCTCTGTCTCAACCGTGTTTACAGCTTCAACGAACTGCTGATCCTGCCCATCCCGGTCCTTGCCAACAACTATGCCTACATGGTGGCGGACCTGGCGAGCAATGAGTTTGTGCTGGTTGACGTGGGAGACGCCACACTGGTAGGAAGAGTTGTCGTAAAGGCGTCTCTAGTCTCTAGCAGTGTTTTCTAACCAGTGATTATTTCAGGCATCTCTATGGAAGTCAATACCCCTTCCCCCCCCCCCGTAACATGTATACAACAACAAACAATGCGAAAATACAATTTTTGGTTAAAACTTACTAAATAATTTAGTAACTAAATTGTCTTTTTTATTGTCATTTTTTTTTTTTATAACTCTTTTAATAATATAAGCGAAATAATGCAATCCAGACGCCCACTCTACAGATTTGATTCGAATATTCAAGTCAACTCTAGATACAACGTTCTAATCTAGATACAATTAAAACATTCCAATCTAGTAGAGAACCAAGGCGAACTAAATATTTATGCTTGGCAACGTCCTGGCTTGTATTGTTTTGTATCTCCGGAGAGAGGGAGATAGTGGGACTCCGGGGAGAGGGAGATTGTGGGACTCCGGGGAGAGGGGGATTGTGGGACTCTGGGAGAGGGGGATTGTGGGACTCTGTGAGAGGGGGATTGTGGGACTCGGGGAAGAGTGGTGTATTTCAGATGTTTGGGTGGACAGTTGCGTAGGAGTTTTTATCATGGGGACGGCAAAAATCTTGGCTCGCTAAGGGTGGCATTATCCTAGCTACGCCACTGGGCGACCAAGATCGCTGAGGAAAAATTGTGAGGTTTAAAATAAATTCACAATCAAGGGGTGCAATATGGATGAATATCTGATAATCATTAAATAACTGTTGCTTTCAGAAAATTTGATCCAGGGAGGGGACATGTCAGGCGTGTGGGGGGGGGGGCATCTGTCAGCGTGCAAATTAGGCCCTTTGGAATACATAACCGGAAATCACTGTGTGTTGCTCCCCAGGGTATTCTTTTAGCCTCGACTTAGTTTCGACCCCCAAAATGTCATATTAATCGACGTGTGGAGTGGGGTTAGATCAGCAATAGAGGGTGAAGGGGTGGGGAGTGATAATATTATACAACTAACACGCTATCCTATTTTAAAAGTTGATCTGATAGTGTAAAGATATAGAAATTTAAACTATAGGCCCTTATACTTATAGTGAAGATAATACAGTTTAGTGCGCTATTGGTTACGGCAGTGGGCGTTGAAGTCATCAGTCAAAAGAGCCAAAAATCAGCAGCAGGACGATTTTAAAAAATTTGAGAGCCAAATTTATTTTCAAGAACCTGTCAAGAACCATGTTTTTCGGAGTCAAAACCGATTTTTGGTCGACTGGCCGAGACGCTCGCGCCGGTTTAGGGTAGCCTAAAGGCCGCACTTTTCCCCGTAATGTAAGTCTTTAAACTAGGTACTTTGCAAATAATAATAATAATAAACTATCAGTATAAAAATAATATGCTAGCAACATCAAATACAATGGGCGCAGTAATGTTTAAATGGCTCCATATGTTCCCCATTTTAATCGGTGAAATGTAGCCTACATTAACAACTTTTTTAAAAAAAATGTTATAAAAATGACAATTTCGTTGTTGCTATTGTATACATTATATTTTCGCTTTATTATTTAACTCTTATGTTCTCCCGAGGGTTGGGTGTGCAAACAAAAAAACAAAAAAATCCCCATTCCTGAAATAACTAAACACTGGTAGCAGACAGTAAACGTTAAAACTGCCAATGTTAGTGAGCATCAGGAAGTAGTGGTGCGGCTTGACGTAATGGAGCGGACTCATTTCGGATACGGTATTTATAATCGGATACTGAATTATTAGGTATCTAGATTCTAGATTTGCCTTAAAAATATCGGATCATCAATAAATATTTTGAGCCTAACGATATTTCATTGGTTCCACCATTTCAATAACAGTATTATAAGACTTATAAAAATGAGAATTTAGTTTTTTAAACAAAATAGATTATATATTTGCTTTATTGTTGTAAATGTTTTCCTTTGGGAGGGGGGGGGGCGTATTTGAATTTCGGGATGTGGGGGCAGTGCCCTGGAGTTTAATTATGCATCGTACTCAAAAAATCCTTTGGCAAGTCAATATTGTTATTTTAAGTTTAAAGGGGGAACCTTAAAACGAATGGTTTTTCTTGACTAACCCTTCTAATTCTAACTGATCATTGAATGCAAATACCAGATAAAGAAAATCTCCGAAGAACCGCTGGCCATTCTAACTACACACAAGCACTGGGACCACAGTGGTGGGAATAGAACCATGAGGAAGACGTTCCCCAAACTCCGGGTCTACGGTGGGGCGTTGGATCACGTGCCAGATAGCACCCATGTGGTCAATGACAACGATAAGGTCGAGTAGGTCTTATTCGTACTTTTTATTGTAATAAGGAATAGGGGGGGGGGGAGATACTGCAATCAGGTTTGCAAAAAACGGAAATGAGTGAAACAAAGTATGGGAAAACCTTAAAAAATTAACGCCACAAAACAACCAACAAGGGATTTTGTTCGCTGACGAAGGCTTCCTGCCGACACGTTCGTTGTTTTCCTGCGTTCATTTTTTTATCAGGTTTTCCCATACTTTGTTATTTCACTCATTAGATAAGGTCGAGTAGGTCTTATTCGTACTTTTTATTGTAATAAGGAATAGGGGGGGGGGAGATACTGCAATCAGGTTTGCAAAAAACGGAAATGAGTGAAACAAAGTATGGGAAAACCTTAAAAAATTAACGCCACAAAACAACCAACTAGGGATTTTGTTCGCTGACGAAGGCTTCCTGCCGACACGTTCGTTGTTTTCCTGCGTTCATTTTTTTATCAGGTTTTCCCATACTTTGTTATTTCACTCATTTCCGTTGTTTACTTTTAGCTGGGTGGTGCGTTAGGTCACGTGCCAGAAGATAGCAGCACACTTTGATCACATCTCAGTACTGCCAACAGCTGTGTCCCACGTCATGTGTAACGACTCGGATTGTGTTAGATGTAGACGACGTGATCAAGAGACTTAAATAGCCACAACGCTAATCTCTAACACCAGAACACCCATAGGGCTGACCTTGATGTGAATGACCCTCGAATGACTGACCTTCGTGTGGCTGTATGGACACAAAACGCATTGCAGCAGAAAGAAACAATGATCGTCGTCCCGTTTGATAGAGTGGTCGTTCAGTTTTAAGGCCATATCACAAATAGAAAATACTAATACTGACTCTTCCATGCGGAAAAAAGAAAGAAAGAAGTGGGCAATAAAGTTTCTTAACCTGTTTTCTTAAATTCGGTTTATAACCATACACATAAGTCATAAGTGAAGATTGTGTTACCCTTCGATTAGAAAGTCGCTGGTCGTTTTAGCTATCTTTTTTGTGACTAAGTAATGGATATCTCCCTTTGTGTGACTAAATAATGGATATCTCCCTTTGTGTGACTAAATAATGGATATCTCCCTTTGTGTGACTAAATAATGGATATCTCCCTTTGTGTGACTAAATAATGGATATCTCCCTTTGTGTGACTAAATAATGGATATCTCCCTTTGTGTGACTAAATAATGGATATCTCCCTTTGTGTGACTAAATAATGGATATCTCCCTTTGTGTGACTAAATAATGGATATCTCCCTTTGTGTGACTAAATAATGTATATCATTGACAAAGGGCTAACTCCTTTTGTGACTTGCAAAGGTTTTTTTTTCTTCTTTTTTTGTGTGCTGGGATCCGTCCGTCACAATGTGACGATGGTGTGGCCATTGGCAGGACGAAATGCGTCTACTGGACTCCATCTCCGGGTTTGATTTCAGAGTTTCCTTCTCTTAGATGGAAACGAGCCCCATCTACTTGGGGTGCTGGTGAAGGTATTGCTTGGCTGGGCTTTGGCTGGGCTTTGGCTAGGCTTTGGCTGGAATTAAACTCCAGACCATCAACTTGAGTTTTGCTCAGTTTAAACCACTTGGCCACCCAGGGTTATCTTTCTTTAAATGACTCGCGGAGAAAGTATCTCATTATTGTGACTGGCGGAGGACAATCTCATTACATGAGACTGATGCATGGTCAATTCCCTTTGTGTGACTGACTGCCGGATGTAGCATGTACAAGGCCAGTAATTGTGTGTTGATTGCTGATGTTGTTTTGGACGTTCCAATGTTTTTGTTTTTTAATAAGTACAAACAACAAAGCTAAGCTAGGGCTTATTCTTATGTTTGCCTACTATCAAGGGCTTTGTTCTGACGTTTGCTTACTGTCTAGGGATTTGTTCTAAAGTGTGACTACTATCCAGGGCTTTGTTCTAACGTCTGCCTACTGTCTAGGGATTTGTTCTAAATTGTGCCTACTATTCGGGGGTTTGTTCTAACGTTTGCCTACAGTTCATGGGGTTTTGTTATAAAGTTTATCTAGTGTCCAGGGATGTGCTCTAATATTTGCCTACTGCCAAGGGATATGTTGTAATATGTGCCTTCTGTCAAGAGTTTGATTTAATGTTTGTCTACTGTCCAAATTTGTTTTATTGGTTTCCTGCTTTCCGTGGTTTGTTATAATAGTTGCTTACTTCCACGGCTTGTTCTAACCTCTTCCTACTGTAAAGAGGTTTGTTCTAACGCCTACCTACTGTCCAGGGGTTCGTTCTAACGTCTGCCTGCTGTCCAGGGCTTGTTATAACGTCTACCTACTGTCCAGGGTTTGTTCTAACGTCTGTCTGCTGTCCAGGGGTGTATTCTAACGTTTTGGTTTGTTCTAATGTCCGTCCAGATTCGGCCGTCTGGTATTCACTGCTATGTGGACCCCGGGTCACACGAAAGGTCACACCGTGTGGAGACTCCACGGGGGAGCCTTTGGAAGTGATGTACCCGACAGTGTCTTCACGGGGGATCATCTTATGCTAACTGGGTGCGGTGCTGTGTTTGAAGGTTGGTTGATGCCTGGTATGATGCCTGGTGAAATGCCTGGTGTGATGCCTGGTGTAAGGCCTGGTGTGATGCCTGGTGTGATGCCTGGTGTGATTTCTGATGTGATGTCTGGTGTGAGGCCTGATGTGATGCCTGGCGTGATGCCTGGTGTGATTCTGGTGTTATGCCTGGTGTTATGCCTGGTGTTATGCCTGGTGTGATGCCTGGTGTGATGTCTGATGCGATGTCTGATTTGATGTCTGATGTGATGTCTGTTGTGATGCCTGGTGCAATTTCTGATATGATGCCTGATGTGATGCCTGATATTATGCCTGATGTGATGCCTGATATGAGGTCTGATGTGATGCCTGATATGATGCCTGATGTGATGCCTGATATAGTGCCTGATATGATGCCTGATATGATGCCTGATGTGATGCCTGATGTGATGCCGGATATGATGCCTGATATAGTGACTGATGTGATGTCTGATGTGATGTCTGATGTTATGTCTGATGTGATGCCTGATGTGATGCCGGATATGATGCCTGATATAGTGCCTGATGTGATGTCTGATGTGATGTCTGATGTTATGTCTGATGTGATGTCTGATGTTATGTCTGATGTGATGCCTGATGTGATGCCTGATACGATGCCGGATATGATGCCTGATATAGTGCCTGATATAGTGCCTGATGTGATGTCTGATGTGATGTCTGTGTGATGTCTGATGTTATGTCTGATGTTATGTCTGATGTGATGTCTGATGTGATGTCTGATATGATGCCTGATATAATGCTCCCGTATTATTTTCATAATTTTAAAAGTTTAATATGTGTGACAAAATGGACCTAGCATAAGATGTCATGAATGTGTTCATGTGTTCAACGTGACCACAGTTTATGGAGAGTTACTTCTCCTGATGTTCACCTGTTCGTTACAATATTGTGTTGATGAGCTCACACCTCCACATGATATGATAACCTTTTGGTTCCCTTGAAATGACCACACCTCCATTTGTCTATCAAGCAGTTGATTGGCTCCCACTATAAGGCCACACCTCAACAATATTTATCACGTGATTGGATTCCCTTGATATGACCTCAAGGTCATAAATCCACGGAATCTTTCAGATGAGTAGTTCCTCTTATATTCATGTGATATGGCCACTGCCACCACACCCAACTGGTTGTAAGAGATAGTCTCCCTTGATACGATCATACCTACACAGGAACCGTAAGCAGAGTATTGTTTCCCTTGATCCCTTGATATCTTCACACGTCCCCAGGGTCTGTCAAACAGATGATTTGTTCCCTTGAACTATTGAACCAGCTGCCCCCAGAGACCCTTGTATGGCCTGGCCATGAAATGGGTTTGGAGAACTTGGAACTAGCGGCTTTCATCGAGCCGGACAACATCAGCGCCATCCTCAAACTGGTCTGGGCAGCCAGTCGCCGTGATATGATGCTGTGCACCTGTCCATCTACCATCGGTGAGTACTTCATGGGCCCTGCAGCTGCAACGGTAAGTAATGTCAATAAGGAACAATCAGTAAGTACTCTCCAATCGATAAGTACTGTCAATAATGTACCATTGATATGTTCGGTCACTAATTTACCATTGATTATAGCACTTTCAATAATGAGCCATCGATAAGTACTGTAAATAATCTACCATCAGTGGCAGGATGCACATAAATCAATTTAGTTTTAGCACCATTCTGAGAGCAACCGAATTTAGGTGACACACTTGACCATGTTGTACCTCTACAAATATTAAATTTGAAGTTGTTACTAAAATGTTATACTATTTTTAAAATTTCATTTTAAAAATGTATTGTGTTACAATACTTCCGTAATAAAGGACTTATATATATATATATATATATATATATATATATATATATATATATATCT